TCTTGGAACATTGATAACTTATTATTGCGCAATATCGTTTTTATGATATGACGTTATGTTGTTCTACACTGATATAGAGCAATAGTATTTTTCCATGGCTTTCCTTTAACAACTCAATGCTGTATTCAGGAAGTTTTAATCTATTTTAATACATATTTTAATACATATTTCTAATAATGTCGTACATGTAACTTAAAAAAATTTTTTTAAAAGATTTTTAGTCGTATCGTCCTTATTTTTTTTTTAATTTTAAAATAATGTTAAATGTTATTGCAATTAAAATCGCACCGTTAGTTGCAGCGTAATTAATCGCAATTAAAAAACCAATTATATATATCGCGCAATTATCAGAAAATCGATTTTTCGATCTTTTCCTCTGCCGCGCGAATCCTTCCACAGATGCTTGCAATCTGCTTCGCGATGCAGGCGTCATAAAGGAAGCATCTACACAGACACGCAGGCTTGCGCACACACATCTCAATAAAGTGAGACGTCAGGATATAAGCGGTAATAAAATGGCTGCCGACTCGGTGGAAATAATCCCGGGAACAATTCTGAAATGCACCGATGAAAGAACGAAAGAAAATTTCGCGCCTTCCTTCGAACGCGAGTGCCACCATACTAAACTCGTTTAAATTCTCGCCACCCGAGTAATGCAGAAGAAAATTAAGGAAATGAAAACGGATGATGCGAAAACACACCGAAGAGGAAAAATTTTACACGGCGAAATATATATATATATATATTTTTACGTCTTTTTTCTCTTTCGGAGTTTCTGAAACCCGCTCGAGAAGATCCTCCGCTTTTTCTCGTCACGGCGATGAAACGCTGAAAGGATGGCGTGGTAAAACGTACGGGATTGCTACTTTACGAGAGGGTCATATGTAATACGCTCGCGTTATCTTATTAAAACATATACGTGCCGGTTAGAAAACTGCGGGGCAACGGCGCCCTGGCGTTGTGAGAGACGTGGTCTATTTGAATAATTAACTCGGTGAGTACACGTAACGCAAAATATTGCGGCGTTGCATTTACCCCGTTCGCCGCAATTACCCCGATTAATCATACGTGTATGGTATAACGAACTCTCCCGAGTTCATTATGTACGGCCTATCGGTGAATCTCCCGATTCACGATTAACAATGCAAATTGCTACCTCGACTCGCCCGGCGTCGATACGATCGAACGATTGGCTGGAGCATACAGATCGCCGCGCAAACATCTCGCGTCGAGACAATCGCGGAATCTCCTCGATTCGTGATTTGCGCCGACGATTTCGACCGTGCCATCACTGACGAAAATAGCGAGCTGCAAAGTAGCAGAACTATCCGCCTCAACGAGAAGTTATGTATCTACGAGGGTCAATAGCTCGACCTCTCGTAACGAACGCGAGATCGACAACGAGCCGTTTAGACGTCTCACTTCGGTTTCGACACGCGATGCGATTACATATGGCACTCAGTTAAACGGGAGCGCACTTTGACTTGGTCAGTCTCGATTCACAATTGAAATCATGACGCCTCGATGTTCCGCAGTTCTCTTTGATTAGATCAGCAAAAATAAAGCGCTTCCTAACACCGTTGCGTCATCCTCCGAGAATAGACTTGAAACAAAATTGGAGCTCGAAGCCGTGCTTATGACTTTTCTCCGTCCGTTTCATTCATCGCATTGCGCGTCGCGAATAAAGCGAAAAATTATACGGTTTATTTTTTTATGATATATATATCGAAGGCACTCTAGTTTTTCATGTGTCATCACTCGCTGATAAAATCTACGGAAGAGTTTCTTGATAAATTGCGATGCAATTTAATTTACACGTGTACTTTGTTTCCAGCGAAATTGGGTAACAGTTGTGATTCAGACAGTTGATTCAATTCGGCAATTTATTAATTTATGAACGGAGGACGGAGTTTTTACGATCCTGTACTATCGAGTACGAATGTCGGCACGTGAAAATGAAAAGGACGCGATTTCATCTCTCTCACGTGAATAAATCACGTGTGATTTTTCTTGTCCAATAATCATGCAGTCATAATCCATCACTCATCTCCTCATCAATGCGACGTCCAACATATTCTTCTCGCGTATCGCTAACGATAAAGAATGCCGCCGCTTTATCAATGCCAGTTTATCGCACTTACGAGACTGCCTGTATCAGGGACATTCGATACCGGGTACACTACGTTGCAATCTCATTCAGAGAGCCGCAGAGCTAAATATACAATCGAATGAAACCCAAAATATTCTCTTTGCCGAATCGTCGATAAAGCTCGCTTTATCGCCCCTATATGAAACGCCCCAATAACTAGACAGACCGATGCCCGCGATCCTTCCGCCCCCCCTCTTCTCCCCCTCCCCCGGTAGTCTCTACCCGTTTTACCGCTAATTATTCTGCCGCGGTTGCTCTGAACGGGAACGCGCGGGCGCTTAATCGAGCGCGGCGGAAAACACAGAATCAGGGCCAGAGATACGGAAAACCGCTGACGCACGTGAGCTTTCCACGTGGTCGCGTTTAAACCCCCGGCCTCGGTCCGGAGAGAGAAAGAGAGGCGAGCTCATTATTTGCGCTCGCCCACGACTCGGGAGATAGAGAAAGAGCGTCGCGTCCCGCTGCCCTCCTCTCGTCGTAACTGCTTTTCCCGTTTGCCGTCGCTGAAAAACGCCGCCGCGAGAAAAAGGAAAAAGCAGAAGGGGTCACGCTACTGACCACCAGGAGTGCGTTCGTACGTTCGTTATTACTAACGCCGTCGTTACGGTGGCAAGGTCGGCTTCGCGCTCGACCGCTTAGTCACGGTCAGTATACCTCGGCCAAGTATAGCTTCTTTTCTTCTTTCCTACGCGTTTCACCTGCACGCGTATCGCTCGTCTCCCTTATCTTCCCGGCGCGTTGCGCGCGATAATTTTTAATCAAGCGTCTTTCACACATCGCGTAATCTCAAGAATAATAACAAAGGATGAGTTTTTTGCACGAGTGTTTTTTGCAGTTTTATCAGCTGAGCGATAAGTGGCGCCAATTACGGTATTCCATCGCGGCAGAAACGACCGTTTTTCTTCGTAACCCACTGCTTGTTTTTCGAAGCGTGTTAATTATTATTTCTCGTTTAATAATTCCGATTAATAATTCTGCATAATTAAACAGCGAGAGGTTCAAATCTGGGTCGTTTGCGATTTTGCAAAGTTTGCGACGGCGACAAGCTGCGCGTGGAATAAACTTTTCTTCTACCTGCATTATCGAACGCATCGAACGCTCACCTTCGCGAAGTAAGGAAGTTTTCGCGGTCCAGAATATTGGCACCGCTGTTTCCATTCGTGACGAGAAGAGCGCGAGATGAAATTTCTCGTGATTAATTTGAGTTGCAGTTGGTGAAAATAAAATGAAAGTCGATTAATTGTTAGAGCCGGGGCATTAACGGCGAACGCGCAACCATCGTTTCCGGCGGGGAAGATAAGATGCCCCGGGCAGGAGCCACCAAGTCGTGGAATTCACAACGGAATATCCCGCTCTGATTACCCAGTGAATCAACCGAAAGGAAGTTCAGAAGACGCGAATCTTTACGTTACGCCCCAACGGCCGCGGAAGAGAGGTTCGCTCGGAAATCGAGAGTGCATTATTCGCCCTTTGTTTCCCGTCGCGTTAATCCCGAATCAGATTTACGCGCGAACGTCCTCCGCGCTTTTTCGCGCGCCGACATCGAAACGCAATCGCGATCGATCGAACCGATAATTACATGAAACGGACAATTGAGATTGATTCGTTCTAAAGAGAAAGAGAATGGCATTCTAAGAAAGGAACGGAACCGGTTTTATAAAGATGGTACGTCGCTATCTGCAGAACTATTCAATATTCTCCGCCGCGGTGATGGAACGGCCGCTAAAAGCACGCTTAAATGCCCGGCGCTCTCTCGCACGCATTAATTTTCGTTAGAGGGAACGTTCATTCACTCGATCCGCCGTTTTTCATAACCATTACCGCCAACGCCGCGCCACTTATCACTCTGCACTCGGAAACAAAACGCGACACCGTTTTAATTTCGCTACGTGCGATACCGCGGTATTTAACCCGAGACGGTATTTGCGAAGCGCGCAATTACGGAACATTATCTCTCCAAGCTGATACGTAACACAATCCGAAATCTGTCGGACAAGGAGAGTTTCCGTTACCCCTCTCGGATACCGCGCCTCGTGTTTGATTGTTATTACGAGAGCCGATGAACCCGCGGGATATTTCGATATACCTTCGATCTATACGATACGAACCGGAACGGTACGCTTTCTCGCATTCGCGATACGTACGAACGTGCCTGTTGCATCACGCTCGTACGCCGATCTGCATAACAGGGCCGATCTTACATGCTAATTTTCAATGTCAGTCGCGCGAGGTTATCCTACGATATACATATGCAAACGATAGTGTCATGCATCAAATCTCCAGATTACAATATCGACATTGCCGCCCAACGGAACGGAAAGAAAAAAACGCGGCGCATCCTTCGATTTCTCGTCGGAAAGTCGCGGATATGTTTTCACGTGTCCGAAACGCGAGAAATAAATTGGATTGCGGAGTTGAGGTGGCGCGAGCCACGCGAGCTGATCTCCTAAAGTGCAACAGGAAACGTTGATTAATGGGAGGAACTCCGCGAGCGTAATCCTCCGCTCGCTCCCCAAAATTTGCATGGATGACAATACAATTCCGCGCGCGACAATACGTGGTCGGAAATTTCCGTTCGTTCGACAATTCGGGCTGGAGTGGCCTGGAGTAGTGGCCAGGCAGATTCGCAAGTCGGTCGACCGTGACCAAGGTTATCGACTTGGCGAGTCACTCGCCGAGCTTACGTAATATACTATTTGGGTTACGTGCGCCAATAAGCGCAGCATTCGTTATGTATATTGAGTTACATAAAGCGAACGATGATTTAGTGGCGAATGTAACAAATGAGATTTTATATTTTTGCGTGTAGAAAAGCACAAATTAATGTATAATGTGCACAGATATTACTCACCATTATGACGAAACTCCGCTTCGCGGCGTGGCGCACGAGGGTCGAAAATTCAGTTTTGGGCTTTGCAAATTAAAACATCGTCCGTTTTTCCCCCACGGAGTTCGACCACGTGTTTTCTCAATTGCGATATGCAAATTTTAATTTCCTTTATATTGATACCGCGAGAGTTATGAGCAAACGTAATGAATACTGCGGATAATACTCTCGATTATACTTTGGCTTACGCCTCCTTCTCCGTAAAATGAACGATAGTATCTAAAATCTGAAAGAATAAGGGCGATTAAATTAGGCCATTTGTTTCCCCACGGCATTCGCGAGCGACGAAAGACCGCTCTGAATAAATAATCGATTAGTCTCAATGATTGTTCGACAGCAACCTGCTTGAGAAACGCGCGCGATACGCAGACAAATTATTGTTATATTGGCTACACGTTAAACTCGATCAAGCTGTTTTTAAACGATCAAGTGGTTTGCCGTTCGATTGTCGAGGCGGATCGCTGTAAATGTCTTACTACTTCGTGACAATACCACCGTAAACTTTGATGAATTGCCTCACAATTCTTTGTTTCTTGTAACATGGACTGACCCGGCCCGCCGATAACATCATTTTAAAACCGTTTCTAATATTGGATATCCGTTAAAATTGCCGTGCATTACGTCAGAACTTTCGTCTCTAATCATTTCTTGTAAGTGCAAATAAGCGAGCGTATATTTAACGTATTCTTTTATGAACATAAAATACAGAAACTTATTTTTATATTTTTAGATTCTTATATTTCATATTTTTATATGTAACCATTTTTATACATTCTATTTTTTCCGTTAGAATTTTCAAACTATTACATTTTGAATATTAAATCTATTATTTTCTCGTTCATATAAAGTTTTTAGAATACCGAATATACGCGACCGTATTTATTGTATATCATGACTGCTAACTGCTCCGAAAAGGCTCTCGCTACGAATTCGCAATTACGTTCCACGCAGCATGGTAATTTGGTACACGCGGACCGTACGCAATCGAAAAATGTTCTCTCTGTTTTACACACATATCCGGAAACTTTCTATACGATCGCTCTGGTGTGGAGCTCGTAACTCTCGCGATTGCGTACGCTCCGTTGGAGGTACGGGTTTCGTTTGATTTTATTACACTAAATTTTTCAATAAGAGAGAAATGAACAAAAACAATAGTATCGTGTTTCACTCACCGTAATAAGAAAGTAAAAAAATCTCTTTAAAAAGTCTCTCTAAAAAGTCTCGCTGGACAAAATACAACAAAGGAAATAGAATCACAAGTGCGATCACATCTAGATCTGTGTGACGGATCTAGCACTCGTCTTCCGGCTCGCGGAAACCTGCCAATATGTTTCGCGACCCGATCGACGAATCTATATAACTCTTCTTACAACGTGCAACAACACATCTTCAGCTCCGCAATGTGAACAGTTGTCTCCGTGATATTCCTGATAAGCTTCAAAACCTGCAAGACCTGCTTTCGTGTTTAACTCATGAGGAACAACGTTTCTCACATTCGGACCGTGCGAATTAAATTATCCCTCTAAGACGTCTACGAACGTTTCCGTATATTGATCATTTTGTTGTTGGTATTCCCAATAAATCTTCTCTGCTTCACCATATGTCCGCACGTCCATCGAATCTGAAACGTATAGAAAAAACGACAATTATCAGATGCCGTAATACGCTATATTGAGCTGAAATTCTTATCGTCGCCAATCAAGTTCTATTTATTTCAATTTACGTGCTAATTTATTGCTTCATTTCTGATCTTATCATTCACACTGTTTAATGGGAAAACGCGTTCAAGATGGGTGGATGTTATAGCTTTCATCTAGCTGCTTTTGCAGCTAAAAAAAATGAGACAACATATAAATAGCAGTATCGTTTATTTCTTAACATTTATTTCTTAATATTGGTCTCCGAATTTACCAGCTGCTCTCTTTTCTCGTTCGCGTTAATTCACTTATATATTTATTACGTGTAATCTACCTCCCCTCCCGAAATCATTTAGGGAAGACGCTCGTCCCGCTAAATAGAAAAATAAATAAGTCTTTCAGAAAAAGGAAACGAAAGAGCCGACGAATCGCGTGCGCGCCAACATTCTATCTTGATTCTCCTAATTATCCTTAATTTCTAATACCGCCAGGAGTGACGTGATCCGTTTAAGAGCCCACGGCAAGTCTCTCTCGTCTCGTGATTAATTTATGTAGTTTCTTACGGCGCTTAGGAGCCCTGGCGCGAGCGATCAATAAGGAACGAGCGGACGTAGCAGGTACGTGCAACACCGCACCTTACATATATAGTCGGTCGGTCTATCTATATACCGCTAATGGTAGCGACATTCTCGCGTTGCTCTCACCCTTTTGTTGCATTTTATTCGTTCTGCGGAATCGCGACGACACAATCGCGATAATGAGACCAGAAAGGTGCACGTGCATGCCAAGTCCCCTTTTACGTACTCTTTCATGAGTCACCCGCAATCGATTTCCACAAAACCCGCGCGCGTAATCGTCGGATAAAGAGTTGCGAATCACCATTCCGTTCGTTAGGTGGCAATCGCGATACGTAAGGGTGGTAAAACCATTGTCACGCGCTTGATCCGCTTTGCGGAAACAAAGCTGCGCGATTCCGCGGACCGGAATCCGCCATTCAGGCGAATCACTTTTGGAAATCGCGACGTGCCAGGGCGGTCGGAACAATGGCGATCTCGTGGAAAATGATCGCGTGTAATTGGATAATGAACGGTTAACGGAATTACGAATGTTCTGAGTGAAACGATACTCACACTCATCAGGTACGGGCTATGTTTCCACGCTAGCGGATCGAATAATACCTTTAATGGCCCTTCGAGCCGCGAGATGATAGCGATACTCGTCCGCCGTTAAATTTAACTGAAAGAAGAAAAGGTCGTACTACGATTAATGAAAGAAGATGACGCCATATAAATACATTATATGACGATGGATACATATATTATACGTAAAATTAAAGTTACTACAGTATACTATAGCCTGGAACAATTTTATTTTCGTGGAAATTCTAGTTTTGAAAAAATTTCTTACAACGATTAACGAACGTGCTTCATTAACTGTGCGTTAATTGTAAGCTCGCCGCCGTGATTATTCCGTAAAATTGTTTTATTAAATTAGAGCAAGGAATAATTATTAAAATGACAAAAATCGCACGTTTTGGTTGAATTGGAATAAGAAAGGAACGAAGGAAACTGTCGCATGTCGGCTAAGGGTTAAAATAGTTTCATCGTTATTGATTCTCTGCGCATCTAGCCTACTTTCCTAAAATATTCTTTACGCCGCTTTCAAATAAACAGTTGATTCGCGATACGAATGGAGATACTTGTCGGGCGTCCGACCCATCCGCGAAAAAATTTCCAAAGTCGCCGAAAAACTTCGGGCGCGGATAGCAACTTCCCCCGAGCTCATAAAAAATTCTCTTCTGTCGTCGGTACGAAGGAGTTACGGAGATGCCACGAAGTCGTCGCCGTCGTCGCCGCTACCGGGTGTCTCGCTCTTATTTGCATCTCAATCGCGGCCTAACGTTTCCCCTGGCAACGGCTATGAATTTTATTCCGATCTCATATTTCTGGTCCCCATTGTGGTGTGCGAGTCGCGCCGCGCGTTCTTTGCTATCAATCATCTCCGTCGCTGCCGTTACTCGCCACCTCGGGACTGTATTCCGAACTTTTGCGCCATCCCGCGCGCGAAGAAGCGAAGAAGAGGTCGACGAGTCTTCGATGATTCCTCCTTTGCGCGAATTTCGCTTCTTCCGCTTGTTCCTTCTCCTCTCTCACTCTCTTTTCCTCCCCCGATTCCCTCCCCGTCGCAAACAAGAATTCCGCAAACGCCCCCGGGGTCCGTGAAATACGTGAGAGATGCGCGCCTAGACACGCCGGGGATCTTTTCGTGAGAAAATGCAGAGCGCAGCGATTCCTCCTCTTTATCTCGAGATATCTCGGTTAAACATCGCGACCGAGAAATCTCGTCGGACAGACGAAACACACCGCGACATTCTCCGCATTTTCAATTTTTGTCGCCGCGTCGCGCCATCCGTTCCGGCTTACGGCATTGTTGATCGTTTCTCTTCCGGATGTTGGCGAGTATTAAGTAAAGTCTCGCGAGCGGAATCTCTCCACGAAATCCAACTGGACCGGGAAGACGTCGCGAAAAGTCTCTCGAGAGATCTCTCGCGAAGAGCGCATTGTTTATATTCTCGAGTTAACATTCTCACGCTCTATACGTTTGCTATATTGCACTTAAATAAAACTCGTTAATTCCGATTTCATATAAGTGATCGTTCCTGCGACAAAATTCTATATGTGATCAGCAGGTGGCTCGTACGTATAGCCCTTTAATCATCATTCTTTCGTCACAAAGACCCAGGCTTGATCCTGGAAACGGACAATATATTATCGGATAAAAAACGGACGATATTATCAGATAAAAATGGAGGAAGCTGCGGTGGTGAAACTCATAATGCTCGTCAACGGGTTAAAGAAATGGACGGAACGCAGGATATTGCCGGATCGTCATATTCCCCCTTCAATAAAAGTATCCTATCAGCGTCTCCGTAACCCTGGCGCATTTTCTCATCGCGACGATATCTCGTAGAAACGCGGAGGGCAAGATGATGAGCTCCGTTCTCTCTCGCCCCTTTCAATCCTTTTACTGAAAGAGATATACGTACGCCACCATACGTGAAGACGGGACAAAGCATCGAACGTCTTACCAAAAAAAATCATGCTGCAGATGATATTTTATTCCCAAATTTATGCGGACTATATCGAGATGATAGCTGTCTATTTTTTACAAAATTTCCTTAATTTAAGAAATAGCCTTTTTAAATTATTCAATATAAATATTAAATATTCAATTTCAAACATTTTTTTTAATCTAGGAAATCTAATTTTGCAGATAACGGGTAAGCAGGCTTTATTGCGAAAAATAGAATTGAAATTGGCACATATTCGATAAAATTCTATTTAATCGTTACTTTTTTTGCTTTGTATGTTTGATTCTCATCATTCTTCCTGCTACATGGTTATTAATATTGCATTAATGGCAACGGGTATCAATTTTAAGGTTTAATAAGATTACGGATAATGAAGCTAATAAGTAGCGAAACTTCATTAATTATTAAGATTATCGATTTATATCAATTGCTATCTTCTATTATCTATTTATTAATTATGAAATTTATTTCCTCTATACAGAGAATTCTCCGTATTGAATTATTTTCTGTATTTTCGGTGAGATACGTAATATAAAATATTAACGGGGCGTTTTATGTAACATCGATAAGGCTATATAACCGTAATATTTACATTCCTTTGAAATGTTTCAGAGACAGAGGAGTGTTGTTTGCGCTTGTCCATGAGCACACACCTTAATAGCTTTGTGACACATCCACATCGTAGTGTTCTTATCATTGTCATTGGCATATTATATATATGTATATATATATTTAATAGATACATAATTATGATTATGATTGAAATTTGAAGAATGCGTTAATGAAGGTGAACGATGTTCCTTGTGTATAACATACTGGAGCGTTATTACATAGCACCCTAAACATTGTTAACTAATATCGATCAATATCAATAGAAAACTAAGAATGTGATATCAGAAGTTGCAAATGAGCTAGCTGTCAATCACAATCTAGAACTACAGACGAGATTTATATATCTACTTATTTCTATACTATTTAAATATACTATATATATCTTTGAAAAAAGGAATGAAGAGAGCAAGTAAATTGATCAAATTAATCATTTACACATTGCAACAAAAGTCACGAAATATCTCAGAAAATGTATACCGTTTATTATAAATTTTATAAAAAAGTTACAAGCCAATCATTTTTTGACTTTATCATACTTTGATAATTCTAGCGTTAGTCTAGTGTTAACACATCTGAAGAGCAGAATCGTTTTTCTTTTACAATTTTGTTTTAATATTTATTTATATTTTGTATTTAAGAGCATACTCAGAAATCGACTCTGAAGTGGTTAAAGAACGAATTCGCAGAGGCAAAGTGCCTCCATTCCTTTCACAATGCCCCGAGCTCAATTACATCGTGTCTCAGTATTATGAGATCCGCGATGTCCATGTCAATATCGTAAAGATATAAAAATACGATACCGTAAAAGAATCCCTAGTGCGATATCGGTTATCAGTCCGTGGAAATATCGCGGATTCACTCGCACCTGCCGGGATACCTATATCAGCCGCCGCGATCGATAACTCGTTCTGAAGAATTCCCCATGGTTTCGGACGCGAAGACGAGAGGACGAAAACTGAAACCCAAAGTTCCGGCGGCGGCGGCGAATCCGAGTCGCGCGAACGCACAGGTCTGACTGGATTGTTCGGCCGGCCGATTCTCTGCCAACTTGTTTTCTGGTTGCCACTTAGGCATATATAGATCGCCGAATTATATACAGCTCGCCCTTCCTCGCATATACTGCGGTAAGCCTACGGCACGCCGTTACAACACGCTCGGCGGGGTGTCCGACGGATCGATACTTTCGAGATTACCCACGCTAATTGCAAGTCCAAGGCCTAAGATGAAATATGTACGGTCGAAACGGTTCTTTTCGCGACTTCAAACGTACAACGAGCTCTTTGTTCTTTTTTTTTTCTTATAATAATTATGGATAACGAGTGTATATCTCGAAAGGTGAAAATAGTCGTTGGTTTTAGCCAGTTAGAATATTATTTTGTTGCAAGAGGGCGACTCAACGATAATTACGTTGGCGAAACGTAGGGTGTCGATCGCGCGAAATTCTGGCTACCGCTATCAAAGCTCGCTTATCGGGGCGCTCGTCGGGCCTATGGCGTCGACGGGACGCTGTAAAATCGATATCGTTCTGAGAAAGCCGGGCGTTGCGTCATATAATCGATATAATCCAGCCAGCAGGAGAGCAAAGCCGGAGCGCTGTCAAAAGCATCCGAGTACACGTCGGTCGGCCGCGGATTACAGCAGATTCAATAAGATCCTCGACTTCCCTAAGCACACGCGACACATACATCGCGCGTTTCCCCTGGAGATCTCGAAAGGGGCCAACTACCGGGCGTCAGATCCGGAAGGAAGGCACGGCGAACGGGACAAGACGCGCGCGATAGACGTCGGGGAAACGTCACGTAGCGACGGGCTTCCTTTCGATTCCGAAAATCCTCCTCTTTGGCATGCGTCGTCTTTCGGTAATACGATGTCGCTCGACCGCACGATCTCAGACGCATTTTTTCGACGCTAATAGAGACGAAAAAAGCGCGCTGCCCGACGCGACGAGGGAGAAAAACCGCGCGTTACGTCCGACCGCGACGAGTTTTTCGCGAAACACGTTGAAAGTTGCATAAACAGCAGTCCGCGACCATTCGCGATTGATATTTGAACGCGATCGTCGAACACAACGCGGTAAAAGCGCGCTCGATTACACGCGACAAGGTATAAAACAAATTCGTTTGGCGGCTCGTTTTTACGAAGTTTTCCCCGCCCACGCGGGCAACCGCATTTTCCGATGAAGCCTACAGTGTGAAAAATGCGTTTGCCCTCTGTAAATACGCGACCGAAATTAGCCGCCGATGATTTCGAACGCGTTGTTTGAAAAGTCGATCCCAGCTACGAGTCGCGCGGGAAATTAACACCATTACATCGATAATTAATTTCGATTATCAATTATTTATTGACGAAATGACAATCGAGTAAATTTGCATGGAAATTCGTGCAAAAATCAAATTCAAATCAATTCTCGTCGCGCGTGATTTGCTATGCGCATTACCGGCACAATTCGTACCGTCAATTAATTAATATTTGATATCTAACCCAATTAGAAATGCGGTTTCATTAGAAAATATTCGGTTAAACGCGCGCGTTATATGTACAATGCACGGGCGGGAAATTAAATACGATTTACTAATTGAACGATATGTCAATCTGGCACAACGCTGGCGAATATGTGTATGGAAAACTTCTTTCGCTGCAAGAAGCATGAATATAAAACGCCGGTTATCTGGTTTGCGCGGGCTAAAACCGGTGGTCGCTATTTTAAGGCCACGTAACAAGGCGTGAACGTAAAACGTACGTAATGCGACCGTGAAACTAAAACTGGAAGGGGCTATTTCCATATTTTCGCGGAAGTTTCCGTATCCGATGGAAAGCTACATACAGTTAGTCACGGACTATGTTACGCGGTTTAACGGACAAAGGATTAATTATGGTATTATTTCGAGTAATTTGCCATACGTTACTTATTTCCACCAGCAAACTTTTTCTATTTATTTTCTATATTTATTTGAAGACCTATTAAAAAATTGGAACTACGCTAAAAATGAGAAAAATATGAAACCTGAAAATTTCGTCATTGACAATCTTGATTAAATTAAAGCTTGATTAAAATTTAACGGTCTTTATATGAAAATACTAAAATATTTACTTTGAGCAGAGATTTTAGAATCTAAAAATTGTAAATTTTTAATATTTTGTTATATTAAGAATAACGACTTTTTATCATTTTCCAGATAAATAGCGAAATAAAACTTAGCAGTTTCTAAAATTATTTGAAGTTTAATTTAAGATTTATACAACAATATTTTTGCGAACGATGTATCATATGGTATGAAAATATTAATAGACGGAGAATTTTCAATCTAATTAACCTAATTACTTAAGTGAACATTGATTAGTATTTCTACACCACATTCTCTGCCCCCCTTCTCTCTCTCTCAACCTCAACCTCTGTGCCTTCGATCAATAAATTTAAAACCAAAGTGTTCTCGTCGAATATCTACAGACACTTGTAAGTCCATCGACGAATCGTTTCGCACATTCGTCCGATGACACATTTATTTGTTTGATTGAATTTTTTCGCCGCGAGCTGGCCGCTGGCCTTGATTTATTCGCGTGCAACGCGCGCGCTCTGTAGCCTCGGGGTACAACCAGCAAATTTATGGCATACGATTTTCCAGGGTCACGTACGTATATAATCGCGGTCTGACCGACTCACGCCTCCGTCCACTTCCCGATATCGCGCCAGATAATGCCCGCCGATAAGTCTCAGCGACCTGTCGGCATCCGCATTGTCCTCCGCACGCATAAATTCGCATATTTTCCCCCATATTCCATATTCCGTGTGACCCATATTGCAAGGATCACGCGCAGGTAGAAAGAAAATGCAGATTAAATGACTTCCGCCCTGTGGACTCGTATTGATTTTCTCTCCCATCAACAACCTAAAGCTTCTTAGTTTGGCTTACGCGAGAATGGACCGATTGTCGACGCGAAATGGAACAAAATGCATGTTAAGTGACAATTAGCAATTTTATATTTAACAATCTAGTGATATCGCACTCGTTCTGTCCTATATTCCCAAATTTTTTTTATGATACTTTTGATATATATAATATTTTATTTTTAACGGTCTCAAAAGCGAGATTAATTCAGTTTATCAAATTAATCGTTAATCAGAACTCCCAAAGCCAAATGTCGTGTCTAAGCACGTGTTATCTCAGTTGAATTCAGTAGTGAGAATCAATCTAATTAGATGCGCCTTCAATCATCAATTGCTACAGAACACGGAAGGAACATTCGTGTTAATTGAATGGATGCGGTTGCATCAGATACGCATCACGTGCGTGCAACGTTAAATCTAGATTCTAGCGACGAAGAGATCCGTTATGAACGACAAATAAAACGAAAGATCTGCTGCATTATGTTCTACATAATTCTATATAAATTCTACATTAAATAACATTCGCAGGTGCAACAATGAAAGTTATTTTTAACGGTCTACTAAAGTCAAAATCGATTGTCGCCGAGGTTCTCGCACTTACTTTCTTGTACGGAAAGAGCGGAGGGATTCGAGGGTTTTGGTGTCTGGCGTAACTCCTCGCGATAAGGAAATTCTCAGATATAGGAGCCGTCGCGCTTTCTCTATAGGGCTCTTCTGGATTGAAGAAGGACTTCGTCGGTCGAACTGTGCGACAGTTCACTCGACCGACTACGGTTCGACACGTTACGGACAGAAGGCAGTTTTACACTGACCCCTCTGTGCCACTAGAACCTCTATGTATATCACCGTCTACTACGTACATTGCGTGACTGAGTTTGTGTGAGTGCGTATCCGTAGTGACGGTCGCTTACTTACGTCTGTCCGGGTCTTGGTAGACATTAATGCCGAGTTTACACCCAATACACGTCGACAATGACCTGGCAGACCTAGACGCCTTTGTCCGACACGCAGAACTTTCAATATCCTTCTTTTATTTAGATGTTTTTTTTATATGATGATTTAGAAAAAATATATTGTGTGAATTGAATAATTAATTTAATTCTGATCAAGGTTACGACTTCTTAGAAAGATAATAACTACAGTGAAAAAAATGTTTATATTTTATTGGAAAATTAAAAAGATAAGATAATCCAATTTTTCAACTTATTATAAAATTCATTATGTGTGCATCTTGCAATTTCACAAAATTTTAGTAAAAAATAAAATTTACGATTCTTTTTGTCAGATATTTTAAAAGAAACTTAGTTCAGATATTTTGGAATTCTGAAATGAAATGCCGTAAGGAATTTGAAATTTTTTTCGAATAAAAACATCCAAATTATTATCAATAATTATATTAATTTAGAATTGAGTTTTTCTATTATTATGCAGAACGAATGGTTTTGCAGAAGTATATAAAAATTAAGTCAAATACAAATAAAAAATAATTACGTAGGACGCTCAAACATGATGATAATGTTGCAAAAAGTTTTGACATTCTAGCAACTAGCTTGAGCATCTAAAGCCGGGTCTAGGCTTGTATCGTATCACCGTATCATATTATGATATTTTCTTATCAAAATTCGGATATATTAGTTATGATGATATGCCAAGGTCTTTGTTTTCAATCTGTACGGGATACAAATACGTATTGAAAACAAAGACCTTGGCATATCATTATAACCAACATATTCGTATTTTGATAAGAAAATATTATGATACGGTGATTACGATACAAGTCTGGACGCGGCTTAATGTGATTATTTAAATAATTAAGAAAATAATTTTTAAACTTGTATTTAGCTAAATTTTTGAACACTTTAGCAAATCGTTCTTTCCGTACACAGTTGTTTGAACCAAATTGTATACAAACACGATAAAACACATGACGCTAATGGCCTAAAACCAGCGTTTAACTGTACCTACTTGTCTTGATAGCAATGAGGCAATGTTTAAGAAACTCTTGGAGACTAATAGTCAAATAAGCCAGCAGTAAATAACCAAAGATTATATCTAAATACTGTATAAAAACCCCGAGCTACATTCCAAACTGTTAGAAGGAAACATTCAAAAATTCTGTTTTCATCCATTATTTAATTTTATTTTTCTCAAAAAATAATCTGTGAATAAGCGATAATCTTAATTCCGCGAAAACTAGCAAACCGTGAATGTAGAAAATGCGCGAACGAAAGACGTGAATATGGGACAATCGCATTTGCATTAAACGTTGATGGTTTTCCAAGTGCAGGGAAATTTCTTCATTGATTAAAGGGTTATTTGTAGTGAAAGGCCAATTACATTATGAGAATAAACATTCTACCGAGCAACATCTACTACAATTCTTTCCTTACGCTGAGCTTATTGCATAGAATGCGTTCAGAAACTTAAAGGGAAGAATACGCATGGTTTGCTGTTTGCAACTAGTTTCTTACGTAATGTCATACATTCTCACTGATGAAATTTTAAGAACGGAAGAGCGCGGTTCTTTTCCGTGGAAGATCTTTCGCGTTCAGTCGGAGAACAATGAAAAATTGATAAATCTGCTTGGAAGAAGACTACACCGAAATACTTGGGGAATTATTCCTTCGGATATGATTCTCCAAGTATCACGTCGCTCGAAAAATCGATATCAAGAGCGCCGTTCCTTAACGGGATTTCTCGCATCTAACAGAATTTCCCGTGTCTTTTCAATTACCGCCACGATCTCGACGAGACGCTCGATCTTTCCTTCCGTCATGCCTTCCTTCTAACGACGGTGGAAGTCTCCAAAACTCGCGGAATCCTCCAGCCGACGCGCGCGTAATTTGCATACGATTAATCTTGATCAACGGCGGCGGCGGCGGCTGCGGCACCCTCGTCCGAGGAATGCCTCGTCTTCGTCCTTGATCCAGCGGGAATCGGGTTAAATGGCGAACGCGCCTACCGAGGCCATGATGGATCGTTACGTCTTGGCGAACCGAGGCTGCGCCAAGATGAATTCGGCATGGCGGAATCGATCTAATTAAGCACACGCACGGTCGCGCGTGGAACAAGACGTGTCGGGAGGATGCGAACTGATTGAATTGAGGTATGCAGATTTGCGTCAACAGAATATTCCGAATTGCGTCGCGCTCCGACAACGGGGCCGCGTTATTGTGTCGCGGATTGCGACAATACGATCGTCTATAAAATCACATAAGCTTACGTCTTTTCCCTATAATTTGTCTCTCGTGCGAATTTTCTTGATTTTAAATTGATAGTCGCGATTGATCGCGCGTGTCTTCCGACAGTGAAAGAATGAATTGGTATAACGCTCCAACTTTATATTGTACCTACTGACGCGGAACAATTGATTTTCTTTTTTATTTAACAGAATATTATTGCGCATAACGGAAGTTCCAAGTTACATCACGTGTTTATCCAGCCAGATGAGTGAGTTACATAACTTAGACTTATGGAAGATGGATTGCCGCGTCTCAGCGAGACGTTATATTATCTCAGAACGGATTTAGTTGCGGGAATCGATCTAATTAGATACGCCTTCATCAATTGCTACGAGACAAGGAGCATTCGTGTTGATTGAACCGAGGTGGTGAACAGATTTGCGTTATGTACGCGCGCAGCGTTAAATCTAATCTCGCAAAAACGTCGCTCGTTCGCTCGCAAACTTCGTGGAAGGGAGTTTCCATACGTTACATTTCTGTCTACGATATTATATACTTAATAGTTTCTCAGAAAGCCGAGAATATATAATTATTATGCACGCGCAAAGTACTTCTACGTCTATTATTCCTTTTTTCGTTTCCACATTTCTATGTTCGTTCGATATTAAAGCCATAAATTGATATTCGCGGGAATATCAGCTCGTATGATCCGCAAATAGAAATTTGCAGCATACACGGTATATAATCATTGTTTATTTGGCGCGCGGCGGGCACGCGCGCAACCCGATCGTTGCTATCTTCGATACTTGCATCTCCCCCTTTTTTTTTCGTGCTCGTTACCGACGCACTCGATATTATTATGGTTCAGAGAACCAAAAAGCAAAAAACTCGAAATTTCCATTGTTAATGACGCGAGAGCATCCCGTCCGACGTGTTATCGTTATCTTCCGCCAGACTGTAAGCTCGCTACTGGATAAGCGAACGAATTTAATCGCGTATCTCTGAATTTTCCGCGCGATAAAACTCGCCTCGTCCGACCCCTTCTCCCCCATCGACGTAGTGAATATTTAATTACCAAAAATAAACCGTTTCGAACCAATCTATCTTGTTATTAAAAAAGCAATTGTGTATTTTAACTTTCTCATAAAATAATAACGCCATTATTTTATGTATTAATCCCGGGAATATATACATCATTATTGAGAGAAATATTTTTTCTTTATCTTAATAAAAGAATGTTAAGTGAGAACTTTATTAAAAGGAAATTATTTTTGCATTGGGAAACTTTATCATTTATTATTATTATATATTTTAGATTTATGATAATACTTAAAGTCGATAGAAAGAAGCTTCTAAAATCTATATCGATATCCAAGAAAGTAATTTAGAAACTTCGATAATAGTGTTTATACTTATCACTTTTCTATTATTCTTTTATCAGATAATTTTAAAGTTATCTTCTAACTATGCCCTTTTGCTCGGTTTTCGAACATATACGTTTAACAATAAGTTCTCCTTTTAATCGAACACAATTCTTTTACTATATTTGTTCCAAATTATGGTTTAAGTCTTAAGAAAATCTTATCGCACGAGAGTATCTCGTATTTTAAATGTGAGTTCGAGCAAACTCTCTGGAACGCGAGGAGCAGCAGATTTAATGTGCCCCCGATTGTGTATTCCGAGGGAATAAAACAACGCGACGCGAGATATCTCGTATTCCTTGCCTCTTTTATCAGCAAAGCTCATTGAGATACAAAAACTATCCTATTCATTCAGTATTATCCGGTTCAGGCATGAAGAGCTTAATTTCGCCGACGATTGATCCCGAATCTCCATGTCGAGTGGGATCTCATCAAAACCGCGATCGCGGGCAGGGCCCCACCGCACCGAATCCTCGGAGGGATTAACCCTCTCGATTTATTTCGACCGATCTAACTCACTCTCCGGCCGGAGAGGAATCTTCGCGGAGACACTTGAGGGACGTGATGCTGATAAAGGATCTCCATTTCGCCAGTGGAGACCCTCCTGTAACCGGTAGCGGTACTCGCGAGCTCTCTCGAGTTACCGGGGGGAGGGGGGAGGAGGTTATCTCGGCCGTGTTCCCGTGAATGCGCATTGTCCGCATTGTGTTGCCCGATGATTGCCGAGCTAAGGATACCGCAGGCAGGATGCTGGGGGAGATCGCAGTCGCGTGACGCGCGTCGTCATTTATCTCGCGCGGAATTTCAGATATTTCCCGAGACGCGCGCGATTATTGCGAGACAAGCGGTGTGTAATTAACACGAGCGTCCCGGAATAAACGTACGGAAGGGTTCGTGCACGCCGCGCATCGACGACCGATCCGCCGATTAATCACGCCAATTATAGTGGAATCGCTTCCGCTCCGATAATATCGGCAAACTGTTGAGCCCGATTACGCGCGACGTTTAGACGCGAATTGCAAAATTTTCCTCCCGGAGGGACGCCGTAATCGTCCGATGCCGCACACGCGACACGTTGAGATACCTCTCCCGCGCAAATCGCGTATACGAACGTCTGCCGCGGATATAATTACGCTAACAAGCCGGAACACCGTTGGTAACAGACGCGGCGGGCGCGCGCTCGTTTAATCCTCGCGGAATCACAGTCGGCGCGTTCTCCGCGCTTCACAAAAGATTTTCGAGTACGTTTGCACAACCGGTGTTGCTTACCGCCTTTCGTTGCCTGCTCGACGGCCCAAAGTAAGCGGCGCATATTCCGCCGACGTCGTCGTCGCGCGCATCTGCGAATGACAGCAGTTGTTTCCCCAAGTTTATCCGAAGCTGCGGAACGTATTCGGCCTCTTAATTCGCTCGTCTACCAACGTCGGAGGAAGCGAGAGAAGACACGTACGATAATCGCCACGTGTATCCACGGCAAAGCCGCCAGGCGAGACGGTCTCGTACGTGAGCCTCTCTCTCTCGCTCTCTCGCTTTCTTCCCTTCGTTAGCTAAATTTATTCCATTATCATGCCGATGCGGTTTAAGTGACTTAAGGCAAGCGAAACAGAAATGTGTGGAAAAATTTAATCACGTCAAAGCAAAGTTTCCGAAAGAGGATTAAATTATTTGCAACGTAGCTGGATATAAAGTAAATAAAATGATTAGGTAAACTTTACAGCGCATACTGAAATAATAAAAGCATCACAAAATATAGATAAAGAAGCGTGATAATAATAATAAAATAAAACAAAATATTAAATCGACATTTATGTCGAATTTGTGCGAATGTTCCATTAAATTTTGTTCTCTGTGTTATAATAAAACGGAGGATCTCGTTAATGTAAGAATGGTATTGCGGATCGCGAAAATCCCTCACGAAGCGAAGTCCGTGCGAAACGCGAAGTAGGAATCGGGACTGCTGCGCCGGAAAGCTCTAAATTTATCGCCAATAGCTTCCTAGGTGCGCGAAAAGCTATCTTTGATCTCTCTCGCACTGATTTATAGATCCCACTTTAATATAGCGAAAAGGGGCGAAAATCGACTCGCGAGAAATAGGAAGAGAAATAGGATTCTTCTGTATTTCGTTTATACTTCACGCCAAACGTATTAACGCCAAAACACAATCTTTTTTTTTCCCTTCTTTCGCGAAATGCCCAGAATCGTTAACCGGAAACAAATCCCTCGTTGTGGAATAATTGACCGCGATTCATTTTCTTTCCGTGCCACGAGCAGTGATCCTGCCCTGGGGGGGACAAAGTTAAATGCCGTATCGGGCAAAATTACGGCAACTTAATCTCCGTCTTAATTTCTTTTTTCCTGCAACCGCGCCCTTTTGCGCCCAGCGCAAAAACTTCCGGACATTCCGGACACGTAGACGATTGGACTAAACTTCTCTTTAATACGTTTCGTGGCCGCGAATATATGCCGCTCTAAGAAAATGTTAAAAACATTCTCTCGCGGACTGTCTCTCGTTTCCTTATATAACAGTCGTAATTACATCCTTAATTCGAATAAAATGTTGTTCACTCAGGGCGGTATAATTTACGAGGCTATACTTCAGCTCTCGTTTCTGACCTCTCAAAATTTATTTACTTTATTTTCGTATTTATCAACTTGCTTCGTCGTTTCAACGTTTCCGATTACATTTACTTTTTTCATGATACTCCTAACCGTAAATGATCGATAAATGCTTGATAAATGATACACAACTTTGTTTGAGTCATTTGATTCCGCAGTTTCATATGCCGTTCTTGATCCGGAAATAATAATGGTCAAATCACATTTAAACCGGCGGGAAACATGATTAATTACGATCTCACAGAATTTTATATAATAATGTACATGCGCATGCTAGATATTTTATTATACATATATTTCAAATATATTTCAAATTAAATAAAATAGATGGAAAGGCAAAAGGTTAAAATTGCCTTTATCAGGGTCTAATAAATACAATTTATTTGAAAAAGAATATTTCGATTTTGTGTTTCAGATCAAGCCGGACGGTGGACGTTGTGCTGCATACCGTTCAAAATGATGAGTTTTACGGTGGTAGACATATATATGGAATGTATATAAATATAAAAAATTGAAAATTTGTTCTGGTTTTATATAATTTTTCAGATATAAAGTTATATACATAAACTTATTTTACCATTCAAGTATTTTCTATTCTATCCATTTCTAAAACTACATTTTTTCGTTACGGAAAATTAAACACAGTCCAGAACTAAATATTCGTAGCCCGTTCAAGAAAATAGAAAATCTATCAGATGTTACATTCACATATCTATCATTTTAAATTAAAATAAATAATTAGCACTTACCTGTACGATACGTAACAGAATGCCTCCCAAAGTACTCTTTTCTCATGTTCTTCCGTTGCATTCACACTTAATACGATCATACGTATGCTAATCGCGAGGTGGTTCCTGACTCCTGATATCAAGCAAGACGCGTTCCCGCAAAGTACATGCTAAATATTACGGTAACTTAAATAATTCCTATTCATAATTGCGCGTCGACTCTGTGTAAGACGAGTAATATCTAGCGCGAAAATACCCGCTTCGATATATACTCATCGTTTGCAAATCGTTGATCGGAAGAGTTAATTATTCCCGCGAGCCGATAGTCTTTCATCGTTTGTAAAATATTACTGTGTTTCGTAAAATATTAACTAAAGATGTACTTGACGCAAGGCACTACCACGTCGACTAATAATAAAACCTCGCGCCGCTATACTTGTGTACTCGAGCTAGTGTCGGCTAGTGAATAATAGTGCGGTGACCTTACGTAACCAGCGCGTCGTCGTAACATTGTTTTGCCACCGTTACGAAACATTTAATGCCTTGTAAAGTTTATTTTACGTTTAAAATACGTCGAATATTTTCTTCAATGTGTCGCGGCCATTTACGGCGCTCGTCATTACTTGAATTGCCCAAACCGACATAGTGTGTGTGACTCACTATCAGTACTCTCCACTTGATTGTAAGTACATTGCATTCTAATCTTGATATTAGAAAAGAAAATTCAGAACACAATGCATATCGTTAAGGAAATAATAATCGTAGATATCCTAGCGGAACGATAATTTACATTTTCCATTCCCTATCGCTTTGATCTTTATGTTGAGTGAATAAAACGCAATTATCACGTTAATATCAATTTATCGCCGCCGCGAACTATTTAATACACACAATATCGCATTTTACACATTTTAAATCTGCAAATTTACGTGATTAATAATGATAATACAAATATTTCGCGCTTCTGATATTCGTTTTTATTCGCAATTCTCTCTTTTCATGAATAAAAATTAATGAAGAACACGGAACAATTTCGATGCGTTTCAGCAGTTCGTTGCGTGAAGTAACGTTTTCGATTTATTATATATCTCAAATGGTATAAATATTAATTAATTCGTTGCTTTTTATTACTGCTCACATTTCATACGAAATACAAAAACGTTTGATAAATATAATCAAATGATGTTCGAATAGAAATTCGCAATTAAAATGTATAAATACTAAATAATTTCAATAAAACTTCATACCATAGCGAATCCGAGATGATATGAAACAATGTATCAGAAAGTCGTGAATTTTTTTGAAACTTATTTAACCCGTAATTTATTGAATTTTTTATTGTTGCTTTTTCCCTCAATAACATTTGAGTCTCAACGCTATCGTTATCTCGTTCCCGTTAATGAAAAATTCTATTCCAAGCGAAACTTTATATTTGAAGTTTGGACAATTCGGGACGTGTACCTACCCCGTATACGTATTCCATTCTGAAAGCACGTGCTTTCATCCCCTTCGATCGCTCTTTGCCTTCGATCCGCGGCAATAAATTCCATCGTCTCGCGCTTTATTGTTGCGCCTCCTTTCAATTTTTACGCCATTCGCGAACGCGTAAACATCGATCTTCGTGTTTCTATGAGTCGATGTCGCATCGTCAAGCGCGACAAATAAAAGCCCTGGGCTTGTACATATGGGCACGATTCTCGCCGGCAATATTTAACCAGTCAGTTCGGGTGTGTCAAACGTATACTCGTCGATAATCGCCTTCGGCGAAAATTGATGGGAGAGGTATCGTCGCCCGTGGGATTCTCTGTTTTCGAAATTGCAATGTCGGGGCCACGGCAAAATATGAACGAAAACGAAGCAAAACGCGGACGTACGAGTGGTCGTCTCTCCTATACCCGATAAAATTGATTTACCCTTATGTCTACACGTTTTTAATTAAACAAACAATTACATTATTTGCGCGCGTATTCACTTAATGGAAATTTTAATAAATTTACATAATTATTTAATAAATTTCTCCATATTGAGTGGCATACAATTATTTCTCGAGTATATTTAGCTATGTAATATATTTGTCAACGTGTATAATTGTATATCGATTATATAAAATATTTCGATTGTAATATAGGCAGCGGCATTAGATCAGTTGGCATGTGAAAAGATATTGATGTCTAATATTCCGTTATAATTGCTCGAGCGATATTTATCGACAGCTTACTTAATACAAAATATTGTGTAAAATAGACGGGCCGCTAATAATTATAGCGATACGATGGAATACTGTCACAATTATTCGAAATACTATAAAATTAATGTAATTATCAATATTTTTTAATGATTTTACTGATACTTGCAATCTTCGCTAAAGGAATACGAAATGTTTCTAGTTAATTCAATTCCCTCACCAATCACCCTCACCAATCACCCTTACCAGCCACTCGATATTTTTCTCGCTCTTACAAATATACATTGTTTAAATAAATCATGCATTGATTCCCAACACGGGCGTCCACTCTGTCAGCAGCGAAGAATATCTGTTGCTAAAACCCTACTTATACATATTCCTTAATTTTCTAATTCTAAAAACGTACTTACACACATTTACACTCTATTAAAAAGAGACTAATAATTCTAGAATTATTGCTAAATCATAATTGCCAGGAAAATATGATATTTACAAATTAAATCCGAGATTGAGTCGAAGCTGTTTCGTCGCGAATTCTTTTCTGAGACCCGGCCTAAAAAATGGATCTTTTCTCTCGGAGAAAACCATGTAAGAAAATCACAAGATTCCTTTTTTTTTTTTTTAAACTCGTAAGAATCGCGCGTTTTGCCGTGGCGTCGAACGTAAAGGCAAACTATCACAGTAATCGCCACGAAAATGCGCGCCGCTGGAGTACGACGAACAGGAGAGGCTTTACCGAGTGAAAACGTAAAACTTCAAATAATTCTGCGCGTCTAGTTGAAGCGAAACGCTTCCGAAGCTTAGCCTAATTAAACGGCACACGTTCAAAACGTGTCCATGTGAATGGTATCCATGCTGGAGTACATGTTGGGCACGCTGTTCCTGCTGCCCTGGCCGAAGACAGCCACGTCGACGGCCTCGTCGTCCAGCTCCTCCGAGAAAGTCACCAGGACCTGCACATTCCACAGCAGATTATGTGACGCGTAATCCGCGGACTAATTATCATAAAAAATCAACTCGGCCGCTGTGAAAAGAAAGGACGAAAGAATTTTAACGCGTTAGACTTTATAATGGAATGTGTCCCGTATCCTCTTGGAATTAAAGTTCCAACGGCAAGTGAACTGACGAAAACTTTATTCGTAATATTAGTTTTTCGACGGATAATTTTATTTTTCTTCGTAACAAGTGTCTGCAACATTTGGAGGTACTTCCATGGAACGCGCAATTTTGCTTTGCCGATCAAACCTCGCGTAACACTCGCGCCTGCAATTATCGCGGCTGCGAGTCGCAAAACTGAAGTTCCACCGAGAACTGGGTGCAAACTTTGGGTCGTTGCGTCGCTGCAGTTTCGTGCGTGCTTCGCGTTGAAACACGTTCTCGCAACGACGATGGGCGAACGGCGGGCGGTGGGCGGCAGGACGAAGGGCTTTACTTGCAACGAAGACCCATAAAAATCTCAAAACTTTCCCGACCGGCCAAGTTCGCCCCCGGTTTACATACAAACACACCGCGATACTGCAAAAAATTCCCACTTTGTTTGCGAGATCGCCGTACCGTCTTTGCGTCACGGTGAGAAATGCATTTACATAATGTCCTGACGCCGCGGGTAAACTTGGAACGATCTTTTTCTTGGAAAATATACGGGCCGAGCTGGCTATCGTTAGATAGCTTGATATTAAAAATTTACCGTTTGTGATTGTATTGTATTGTGATTGTATTGTGATTGTATTATTACAAGAGAAACAAGTTGAGCGCCTAAGGCGAAAAAAATTGCCAAGTATTATTAATAATACAATGAAGTGTGCATTAATATTATTTGCATGAAATACAAATTTTAAATGCGCAATTACTTCTGAATTATTGTAATATTTCTTGATAGAATACAAAATAATATGAGTAATTTAATTTGCCAAAAGTTTTAATTCTAGTTCTCAATAATTTGATGAATTTATTCTTTAGCATTGTGGCAACCACCATTTTTTCAATTTTGCTCCCAAATAAAATTCGTACTGACAATTGTTAATTTTAGATTTTATTTACGTAAGTGCCCTTGATTTTCCGAAGGATGAGTGCACGCGGTTGCGAAACTCTTAGAAGAAGACTTCCGCGCAGATCATTTTCTGTGGTATTGCGGTAAGCAAGTTCTTAGATTCGACCCGACCCAGTTTACTACCGTACTTAGAACTTAATTTATATTCCGAACCGCGCTAACTTGAGCTGTTGCTATTGTCGTTACTCGAGAAGCTTACAAAACAACGGGGGTTCATGGCAGCCCTTAATGTTCGCATGGACCAAGTTTCAAGAAACGGGGATGAATACGTGACGCAAGTTTGTATTTAATGACGATTTAAATACGCTCAGGAGAGGGCGGATGACAGTGTTTTCCGGCGCGGAAACGGTGAGCGTAAACTTCTCTTCTCGCTAGTAACAATTAGCAATGATAATCCCGAAAGAGTTCTCCGAATTCGAAGAAGAACGAAATGCAATTGTGCGGTAAATTGTCGCATGCGTCAATATTTTCAGAATGAACCAATTACGTAGAAATTGCAAAACGTCGCGGGCTGATAGATCGTTCGCATTATTGGTTGAAAAGGTGATTCTATTTCTGATGACAAAAAGATTCCATAAAACCACTTCTTCGTTTCAAGTAGTGAATTTCTCACACTTTGCCAACGCGCCGCCTTATAAGTGATCAATTAAGCTCCCATTATTCATCGCATTCGATAACGCTCCTCTTGAAATTTCTCGCACGTCTTAATTCACTCTCACAGTGGATATTGATATTTTATTCGCGAGCGTTCTTGTCTCAATCTCCCAATGGATTATATTACATTTGCGAAATCTATTATTGTCCGAATCCTTCGTCAAATTTTTAATAATAGCTTATAATGATCGTCGCATTAGTGAAATGTAAGAAAAAAGTAAACAAATTTTTAGAAGTGCATTATTTGCTGCAATTCACGTTTCTCATTCCACGAAATAAAAATCGCACCTTTTTCATCGGGATCGATCGATCACTCAACGCAACGATTTCAATTCCCGCCTTCCCTCAAGCGCCGAAGGTTCATTTCGATCTGGAACCGCTTCTTAGAATTTTCAGACGCCGTAGAACTGTGAAGAATAGTTGGAAATGGATCGCGCACACACTTTTCAGGACCGTAAGATCTACATACCCGTATACCGGCGATTTCGTTGTCGCGCAACTCACCGTTGCGTAATTTACGATCGTCGCTCGCAACCAAGTCGCGAAACACTGAATAATGTATTGTCGAAAAGAGTTGCAAAACGAGTGAAAAAAAAATCTTTATCGTTAATGCCGTTTCTCCATAACTTCATGTTATTTCGAGGATTTTTTTTGCACGTCTGGTGATGCAATAAATTCCTAATTCGCATTCGTATATAGCACAATAAAGTTCACGATGCGCGAGTGAAATAGACCCCGCTACATTATTCCAGCGCGTAAATCGGAATGGATAGGAAACAGCTGTGAATAGTTTTACGGCGTAAATATAAAATAGTGCTTTCGCTGTAAAGTTTTATTTAAATCCTGTTTCATTATTCTTAGCCGGACAACGGTTTATATAAAACTTGAATTTGAGAAAAACAAAGCGAGGAGATTACAAGCTTTATGTGCCGTCGTAATGACCATTTTTTTTTTAAAGCTCGTATCACGCCGTCGCCGGAAATTCTCCTCGCGCGCTCGCACAACTGAATTTTTTGCAATTTTCAGATTTTTATCCGGTCGGATGCGGCGCGTACAATTTGCGAAAATAATTAATAACGACGTAATATTGTGACGTTACTCCTCGTGCGTGAGGGCGTGTTAATTAAAGCTAACGTCTTCGTACGACCTATGAAGATTTATATATAAGAAGTTTTTTAATTAGCCTCAAAATTAAAATTTTTCTTTATTAACCGGCTTATGCAAATGCGAGTCGGGGACCGCTTTGCGCGCGGTAAATTTCTCAAAGAGTCGCGAAGAGCCGGCGGAAGTTCGGCGGTAAGACGGTGGCTACGCGAAATGCAAATTTCAGCGTCCGGCTGCCCCGCGTGCATCCCTCCGCGTGCAAATACATCCTCTCCCGGCGCGCCGCCCTCGCCTCGCCGCGACAAACGGACACATTGGACATAATTTGTCCGTCCGTAAGTCGGACACGCAAGCCACTCAATTACACGACAGTTGCGTCGCTTTTAAAAAATTTTATTCCGGGTTAAAAACGCGAGAGAAAAAGCGCGGCACGTTTTGCGAGCGTCCGTAAGTTCACGGATATCGGGGAGAGAGAGAAAGAGAGAAAGAGAGCAACAGAAAGAGAAAGAGAGATAGGACGGCCTATGTGCAATTTCGTTTAAGCTTAGTTGCACACTCTGGATTTACTGGAATGACACGCGAGGACAGAGATTCGAACGGGACGGCAAAAAAATTCTTCACGCACACGGCAACGCGGTGGGCGTCGCGCAAACGTGAAAGAAAGCTACCGGCGCGTCATGTGATTTTAATTTCATTGCAGTTAATTTAATTGCGCCTCAATTGCATCGTTCCGACGCGTTCGCGGCGAATAATGACGTTAAATACGCGACTCGAGAAATGCGCGCGGAAGGGACTTCGGCGCTTTGATGTGCATTTACCGTCGCGCTGACTTGCATATAATACGCCAACAATATGCATTTACCGAGAAACGTTCGCAATTCGCTCGCATTGAAGCGAGCGTGGAAGACAATCGTTATTGCAACGCACGACGCGCAAGGGCTTCGAATGCAGAGCGGAATGCGGGAAAGCATATCGTGTGCATAAGATTTATACTCGACAATTTCGACAAGATTCGGGCTTCATTATTCAGATGGTGAATTATTTCAGGGAGAGGGGGAAGAATCTCTCTCGAAAGAGAGAGAGAGAGAGAGAGAGAGGGGAAAGGGGAGGCGGTTAATTAACAACAGTTTTCGCAGGGAGGGAGAAGAAAGGGTTGGTACAGCGCGTTATATAGCTATCCGGAAAGCATTTAGGCGAGCTTAGAGGCAACCAGCCGGTGTGGGCAAATTTCCCGCCTCTCTGCAGCTTGTAAACCATCGCGGGGATGTATGTAAGCGAACTACGAGACGGGGCGGATCCATTAATATCCGTCAGGATCGGTGGGACGAAAACGGCGGATCGTCTTTGGACGACAGGAAGAGGTACTGTGCGCCGCGCCGCGGCGGTGCATCATCTGCTGAAGACAAGCCCTTAGAATATCGCGCCGCCGATGCGTATTCACCTCCGGATGCTCACCCGGAAGGTCACGTTGCAAGAATTAAATATCGCGCTCGTGAATTCTCGGCAAGTGTACGTCTATCTTAAATACTTTAGACTTCGCGTACCGCAGCACGATTTCAGAAATGATAATATATGCGGGGATCGACGTTGACGTAATTTCACGTACGACGACAATAGCGTGCTTCAATCTCGGGAGCACGTTCGAGATAATACGTTGTAAAGCTTCACGAGAGACGGGACATTTGAAAATCAAAATTGATAAGAATTCCACGAAACGCTGTATCGTTGAATTGGATTCACTGACCTGATCCAGCGAGCTCTGTGTGAGTGTGTAGTCCGTGGCCTTAAGCTCCTCCGCCAGGAGCTTCAGCATGCTGAAGCTCACACTGAGCGCCATGTCCTGACTCCGTGGTAGCAAAAGCCGAGCAGCCGTTGCTTGCTTCGAAGAGATGATCGCCTGCGGCAGATATTTCAGGATAACCCTCCTAAGATCCGTGGCGGAAACTGGCTGGCCAAATCTCAGGAAGGCGATGTATCCTTCGCCGAATCTAAAAGTCAAATCGGTTTTACAGTTCTCAAGGCGACGCACGTTTCAATTGGCACTTGAATTAACTATGATGGCCGTGCAATAAAGAAATCGCAATGCAAAAATTATTCTGGAGCGCAAGAACGTGTTCTAAAGATCGCAGCGGTCGTAAGAGAGAGAAACCGGTTTTATTAGCATTCTTAAATTTACGATTTATTCACTTTGCTCGTTGCCTTCGATCGCGGGGGACGCGGATCTATATTTCAAACTCGGTCTGGACGAAGGACACAGGGGGGGGGGGAGACTGGCTTTTACTGCGCTCTCTATACCGTAACAAAGTGCATTCGCCATTCTTTATCATTCAACGTACTTCTCCGCAACATACGAGAGCGGATTGCAGGATAGGTTACTAACGTAGACAGGACCATATCGTAAATTCTACCCTCGATGGCGAGAAACACTGCGGGAAGGAAAGAATCGGTATGGTAAGGAGATGAAAGAGGGATCCCCTTCCCCCCCCCCCGAGGGCACTTTAGGACCTTAGCAGTTAAATATTTTTCGTATGCTACGTTATTATTCCGAATAAATCATGACACGTTTAATATAGATTCCTTTTTGCACATTTAATCGATTTCAGTCAGATTTCAGTTAGAATAACTAACCAAAAAGACTGGCTTTGTTGTCTCATTACCGATAATGTCGAGTAAGATTTATTTTTGTTACACTATTTTTAAGAAATCAAAGTCAGCGAAAAGGTTAACCTTCTTAAACGTAAGAGCATTGTCATCGCGAGAGAAGTTAGATTTAATTAAATCCTCCGGCGGTCTAATTAAATGCGTTGTGGTAACTCCTAAAAATTTTTTTTGATTAAATTACTAAGGGAAAAATATTTGTGGGTTTAAGCCGGTGACCTCGTACCGGCCACCTAATGAACCACAACCATCGGTTCTTTCCCACGCCACGTTTCCACTGTATCGCCTTAACTTCTCTCAAGAGGATTATTCAACGAGATGAGATGATATAAAGATAAGAGATTTCAATTGAAGAATACATTCGTTAAGCTACGGGACCATAAGGATCCGTCGTAAGTTCACCAGTCGGGTCGGAGAAAAGGATTGCAAACAGAAACGGAAAATCAGAACTGATAAAAGCGCCGGAGCTTTCTGTGCACGGTTTATGAGTCTGCTGGGAAATATCCGAGGGTTAAAAGAGACGCGCTATTCTACGAAAAAGAAAGTTTGATGTAATCTTACTTGTGCTTCAAATGCTGCGGCGTTCCTATACACCTGAGACCGGCTCTGGCGAGGATGCCCACCCTCGTGCAAAGGTTTTCGCATTCGGCGACGCTATGCGACGTTAATATGACGCATCCCTGACTCCTCGTCACTTGTCTCACGGCTCTGGCCACGAGACTCTTCGTCGCGGGATCCATTCCGCTAATACACACAAGCGAATAACAATATTAACGGAAGTAACTCTTTGCGCGAGATTAACAATCGTTTAACGTAGTTGTAAAATTATGCCAAGTACCTCGTGGGCTCGTCCATGAGAACTACTGCGGCAGGAACCATGACGCTTATTGCGGCGCACAGCTTCCTTTTGTTACCGCCGCTGAGACCGGAGACCCTTCTATGAGCATACTTGAGTAGATCGAACCTCTTCAGCGTTATCTCCACAGCCTGAAATAATAAATGAAATTCCTGGTATTCTCCAATTCCGAGCTTTTGCGCCTGCAAATTTAACTCTTAAAACTTCTGCAGCTCTGAGACAAAAGAATTTAGGAAAGCTTACAAGAATATCTTCAACAATGCTTCTCTAAAATATAACACAAATAAAATATAGATATTAATTTAAAAATTCTATCAAGTTTTGATCAACAGAGTGGAGTTTCAATCAAAAATTATATATTTATGTGTACATGTATTTCTCTTTAGGTCCATTTATTTTTCATCTACCTTAGGAACGTTGCTCAACCCGCAGACTTCACCGTGAATCGTCAAACACTGGTGGGGTGTGAGGAATCCGTCCAGGGCATCACTCTGCGGGCAGTAGCCGACTTCGCCATTACACAACGGTCTCCCGCCAATCTCTTCCTCCTTCAGAATAATCTTCCCGGCCGTAGGAATGATTTCCGTTGTCAGCATCTTGAATGTCGTGCTTTTTCCGGCCCCGTTCACCCCCAGGAGACCGAAGCACTTCCCGGCCTGTACGCCGAAACTTAAATTTTGCACGGCGACATTTGTCCCGTACACGCTCTTGTATTCCTTCCTCAGTTTTATGGTCTTCAGGGTGTCGTCAACCATTCCCGTCTCAACTCTCAGTCTCTCCCTGGCAACGTCCTCGTCTTCCTGCACCGCCTCGTAACCGATCTTCCGCTGCCTCAGGTTAGGCAGGACTCGACACTCGATTATCAGATTCAGCACGAATAGAATCGCCCCGATTACAAACAGGTAGACGTAATGGAAGCCGAGGAGATCCCAGCCGAGCGGGGACTTGTAAGTGTCCATGTGAAATCTTTGCAACAATTCGGCGGTGATGTCGTTCTTCGTGATCTCGACTAACCCGTCGCCGAGGGTATATTGCGGGAAGATCATTAGAATGTAATGTAGGATGTTCCGCGCGTCTTCGGCCGTTTTACTTCTGCCCAGGATGTCGAGGACTAAAATAGTCGCTAGGGAAGCCACGCCTATGAAGGTGTTTACGCAGAAGAGCACCATGTTGGACAGGCTCGAGTCGTCGAACGCTTTTTCGGCTAGATGCGAAAACGGTAACGCCGCCCATCTAACGTGATAAATATTTTAAAGATATTTACGTTATATCAATTTTATAGCAGTCAATTAAACGCGAATGCTTACGCGAACATAATTAACAGAAGACAGACACCGGCCAGATTATCTTTCGCAACGTAGGCTGATAAACCAAAGATCTCGAAAACAATTACCGCTAGGCAGATAGAACAAATGAATACCTAAAAAAAGAAATGATAATATTTGAGATCGTATTAAAAGATTATTTGCTTTTAGCATATTGAAGAAATTTCTGCTAATAACTCACTATGAAATCCCAAATTAAAATTGTCGTCCAGTACGTGATAGGATGAACTCCAGCCAAATAAAGTATTCTCTTTTCCTCTGACAATCGTTCTCTGACTATCTCCTTCGCTCCCTGAGCTCCAACCAAACTGAAAGCTATCAAAAGTACCAACGCTATGCCGACGTCCGACACATGTTGCAATCTGAAGAAATAAAATATAACGAAATGAAATTTCTGAATTTCTGTTCCTGAAATGACGTTTAAACGATACGATCCAATTGCTGTAAAAATTTACGGAACGATTTAAAGAACGATTGTGCGGGTATACTTCTACAATACACACGTATTTGATTTTATTAAACATGAAAAACAAACGAAAGTATCGTTCGTGATTTGACGATACAAGTAGAATTTTGCAATGTAACGTTGAAACATGCGCCCCGAGCGTCAAACTATCGCTGCATGAATACCGAATGATGCGGTACGTTAATTAAAAGTAAACGAAACCGTCTACGCCGTCTATGGATATTTCGCTCGTCGATCCTTTTGGGTTCAAAAGCCTCGAACCGCGCGCAAACGTCTTCGCTTATCCATTTGATCCGGAATCCGCCCGCATCCCATCGCGTAAAATTTTGTAGTTAATTAATCCCGCAGGCGCGCAAACGATTGCGTAACGAGAAATATCTGCGACAAAGATTTTTCCCGCGATTTGTCGCGACATTAGAGGTAAACGCTTACAGTGTCGTTCGATTCAGCTGATCGCTCGATAGCTTCAAGGGGTGATTGAGTGTGGTTAAGTGTCCTCGCACCCCGGATGCTCGCAGGATTGCCTCGTTGAGAGCGTTCAGATACGCCGGCATCGAATGGTGACCTTTATTATTGTACCAAACGATAAAAAGGGGATCCTCCTTGGAGTGCGTCAGAGACCACCCGCCGTATCTACGAGTCGCGTAGTTTGTTCAAAAAATTTCGATCGGATCTCAATACCCCTGACTCCATCATTTTAACGCTTTAGCGAAATTTACCGTTTCTCTATGTATTCCTGATGTGTCGAGACTATCCAATCCAGAGTAGGTCGGCCAGGTAGGGTTTGAAGAAGACCTTCGATAGGTTTAGAAACGCCTCGACAAGTTTGTTGACCGTTGACACATTCGCAGGTTCCGGTATCCTATGGAATTATTTGAGATAAATGCGTGGTTGTTTATAATTTGAACTTATTTGAAGTTCTAATAAATTTCGAAATAATTATCACTCGTTCGTACATTAGGTAAAGTTTGCCATGCACCAGCATAATCATCTCCGAAGCGATCGTGCAGCTGCATAGATACATGCTGTAGGAACTGGTCATTACTGTCGATACTGCAAGATAAAATATAAAAAAAAAACGTTAAGAATATTAGGTAGAAAATAAATATTTAATTTAATTCAGTTTTATCGAATTTAAAAAGCTCTAATCTGCAGAAATATAATAATAAATATCATATATAATATATAATAAGTAGTATAATATAAATAATATAATAAAGCAGATCGTACAATTAGTATTTTTATATCAACGAGATTTTTGCCCCGCTTTGTCCTCTTTCTTTTTATTAAAACCTTTTTATTAAATTTTTCCTACCTGTAGAAGTAAGTCGGATGGGTGTCATAAAGTTTGGGAGTCAAAGCCAGAGGCGGCTCATTCTCGGACGGTGGCCGTATCAGAGAAAATCCCATAGCGACCGCAACGAACATGGTTGGTAAAACGAGCGCGGCTAACGGCGCCCTCCAGTCTCTTGCGAAATGCCATAGCCTTTTTTTTATCATGGCTTTCATTTGTCGAATTGGCGAGGGTTTCAGTACTGTATCGGTAATTAAATCGATGTTGTCGTCTAATACAGGAACTTCTATGCAAATCAAAAATTTTTATTTTTCTTTAAACACTTACGTTGATTGAAAGCCAATTAAACTAAACTTCTGTCTTTTTAAAATAATAAATCTAATTTGTTTCAATTTGGACATTTGCTTAATTAAATATCCAAGCAATAGCAATTTTGAGTGGTACAATCTAACGTAATAATTAATAAATTTTATTATTTATTTTATTGCTTTTTTCTTTAGGTTCTTTTTTTTCTAATATATTGTAGCTTTAAAATTATGAAACCAAATCTAACAATAAATAAAAATATATAAAGATTCTCTTGAATAAATTAGATAATATGTAAAAAATTTGGCAATAAGAGTCAGGCACGGTAATTAATGCGCTATATAATTTATTATAATCTAAACTAATTAAGTAAAATTAACGTACGTTTCGACTCTTTCTTTAGGTTGAAACGCTAATCTTATTTAATTGGTTTAAATTATAATAAATAAGAGCCAGGCGTGGTAATTAGTTTAGATTATAATAAATTATATAGCGCACACTAATTACCACGCCTACGGCTCTTATTGCCAAATTTGTTAATGTTATCTAATTCCTAAGTTTTGCATTTACAAAAAACTACAGATTTATTACCTATTCTATTTTTAATTCTTTCTTACTCTTTTTTTTTATTTTCTTCAAATCTCCTAAAAATCTAAACAATGAAAGAGCGCTTTTAATTAAGAAGGTGAATTTTATGCATGCCACAGCATACACGTAGAACATTTCTCACCGACGTGCTCCACATTAATGACGCTATCTTGGCTCGCTCTGATAACGCTCGATCCGTTGTCTGCCCGCGCGCAAAGATCCAAGAAGACTCTTTCCAGAGTGTCGCACTCCAATGAGAAGTGCGAGAATCCCAAGAGCTTACGATTGTCTTCCAACGCCTTCGCCACTTGCGCGATGCTGAAATATCCCTGGCTTTACTCAAACACAAACGCAGGTGTTTAATCGATTTTGTCTCTAGTATGATTGCAACAATTCCTTCTAAGATAAATTACGAGGCTTGAAACGTCAAATATTTGCCAAGACGGTACGAAAATTACAAGCAGGCATTATCGTAAATCACTGTGCAATAAGCAGAATTTATTTCATACTTTCTTCTTAAATCCTGCGGCGTTTCCATATGCGTGTTTAGGCGAGTTCTTTTACATGAGTCGTACGCGGAAAAATAAATTAGGAAAATTCGGTTAATTTAACTTTCCAACGATGCGTATAGTTAATACTTCGGATATTTACTCATTGTTAATGCCATTTTTTCCCTGAAAAGGCAACGCTACGGTGACCTCTGACTCGGAGACCTCGTTTACCATGGTGTTCGGTATAACTTCCTCGACCACGGCACGAAGAGCCTTCAGGTTCTTTTTGTCGACCGTCTCTGTTATCCCTCCTATCCCCGCTTCCCCATTGGCATAGTGATTGGGCGGGAAAGACACGTTCAGTTTGTATCCCGTGCCGTACGTCGTTTTCAAGGACAGTGGCGAGCCGGTGCACAAGATCTTCCCTTTGTGCATCACCACAACCGTGTCGCTCAGCATGTCGGCCTCGTCCAGATGGTGAGTCGACAGGAGCACGGTTCTGCCGACTCTGTGCTGGTCGATCAGTCGCCAGATCCGTCGTCGGGCCGCAGGGTCCACTCCGGCGCCGGGCTCGTCCAAGATCACCAAACGTGGCGAGCCGAGGAAAGCCAGGGCCACGCAAAGCCTGCGTCGTGTACCGCCTGACAAACGCGACACAGGCTCGTGTTCTTGCCGTCCGAGTTCCAAGGAGGTCAGCATTCTGTAAGAAAACAAAGGAACCCGTAACACTTGTCTCCAATTGGTAGATCGTAGCTATTACAAAACGATTTTCCAGAGAAGCTAAGAGAAGAAAGGATGTTTTTTTCTTCTAAAATTACGCGTAACAAAATTATGTTATGCGAAAAAAATTGAAAATTTAGTATCTTACTTGTTAACATTCCTCTGCATATTGTTATTATCGTCATTAGGTTTCTTAAGCTTCCAGTAAAAGACCATGTGCTCCCTCGGCGTCAGAGTGCCGATGAGTACGTTTTCCTGCGGACACACTCCTATGTCGGGCTTGCAACCTTCCTCGCCGTTCAAGCAAATTTCGCCGTTGGTCGGCGCCACCATTCCCGTTAGCATCTTGCTGTAATAGACGCAAAATTGACGGATGTCGCTTCGAATTTGTTCGATTTTAAGACATACCGAAGTATATTAAAAATAATAATCCGAAAAGAGAGATTAGCATACATAATAGTAGTCTTCCCTGCGCCATTTCTTCCAAGCAGACTTGTTACTTCGCCCTCGCAGAGCTTTAAAGTGAAGTCCTCCACGGCGACGACGTCACCTCGTTCGGTGGGATAGACCTTCCTGACACCCTCGAATTTCACGCCGATTTGCTTCTCTGTCACCGTCAAATTACTGAGATCGCTCTCGTCATCTACGTTCGGCAACAAATGGTAGTTCATGTTTACATCAAGTTTACGATAATGACGCCTGTATAATCGAAAGCAAGCTCTTACCGATCTCACCGTCAAAAAAGCGAGTTTAAAAATTATTTTCAAAGGAAAAGCAATTCCATATACATACCAATAAGTACGAATATCTCTCTTAAATTTAATTTCGATACCTTTAATCGAATCCAGGAACAAACATAATATTCTTTTTTATTTAAATTACGCTCCATCATGCTACGCGTGCAATACGTGCAGATATCGTATAAACCAAATGTAGAGAATATAATTGATACAGAATATATGAACGATAACCTGACCTTAAAATACTTGTCGATGTAAAAGTATAATGACATGGAACCGGGAAAAGAAAATAAAAAAATATGCAACATTTACACGTACTTCATGCAGATGTAATCGTATTTACATACTTAAACACCAAATACACTGAGAGTATAAAAGCGTCCCAAGATAAAAAAAATATGAAAAGCATGACGTTCACATATTATGACAAGAATAAAAAGAATAGACACAACTACAGCCATAAAAAAATTAACTTCCACAATGTTAGAACACAAACAATATCGCTCGTGAAATACAAGTCATTTTCTCGATGAAAATTTTCACACGAACGCCGAAGTTCTAGATTGTTATAAACACCAAATTGTTGACGATAATTTCCATCGCTATACCGCGGGAATGAAATTTAACCCAGTTTACGTCCATCAAAACGTTCTTTTTGCTCCTGCCTTTCGTATCAGTCGACATGCGAGCTCGTCGTCGGCGTGCAGCGCGAGAAGCAAGCTGAAAACAAACTTTCGTGACATGCGTGTGCACAGGGAAGAGTGCGATACCTTGGTAAGTGGCTGAGGGGTGGAGTACGTCGTTAGTGAAATAGAGGTTGTTGACGAAGGCGAGGTAGCTCGGCCTGCCATAGAGAGAGCGTGTGTTGGCCCACCATAAGCTACGGGACCTCAAACCGTGAAAGCCCCTACCTGGAAAATTATCGGTAATGCTCGTCCGTTTCGCAGATAACTCACCAGGTCTCTTCATCGACTTCTCTTAAACGACGCGACTTCTCTCTCTCTCTCTCTCTCTCTCTTTCTCTCTCTCACGTCGGATCCGCTCTCTTGGATTTTTCTCGCAGGTGCATCTCGTGATTATACTCTCAGGAGAGTATCACGTGACATGTACGTGTGGAAAGTTTATGACAGTGTGATGGTACCGCATATCAAGATGATATGCGTAATCTTATTATTTTTTTGTGTGAGAGCCACGCGGGAGAGGCGCGTTAAAATATTTTTTAAATAAATGATTAATTAACTAAAGACTCTTGATATTAAAATTAATGAGTGACAAGGAAAAGTGAGTCAAACGCGGTTGATTATGCGTGAATTAACGTTATGTAATATTTAATTAATAATTTAATTATCTTAAGTTCTCTGAACTTGATAGTAAATGGATTTTATTTCTCTTTGCCAGTTAGTTTCAATGTCTAGTCCGTATATTTTGCAGACTATGAATCTTTCTGGTTCAGTACTAGCATTAATTATTGCATTATTTTGAAAATTATTTATTTGTTAAATTAGAAAACTGCTGGGAAATAATCGGTAATGCCCTTACACAAAAAAAGCCACGAAATAAAACTGAGTTACGAGAAGCAATTATATGTTTGGTATCATGTGAAATCAGCTGATACAATAAAAAATTTAATCTTCTTTTTTTTTAATTTTTTCTCTTGTAAATTATACTGTTTTTGTACATTCAAATTTTAAATATTTGAGAGCATATAGCCTTATGTTCGTTGGAGAGCTTAAGTTTTATTTAATTTATCCATCACCGCTGAAGATGGCTCAAAGTAGATCCGAAATGTACGAGTTATAATTTATATGAAATTATTAATTAAATGTTACATGAAGTTAATTCACGCACAATTAACCATGTTTTACTTTCAAAGCCCACTTTTTCTTGTTACTAGTTAATTACAATATTCTTTCATAAATACTACGAAATAATTTTAAACAGAGGATAATTAACTTTATAAAATATTTAAATAATTTATTAAACTAAATTAATCAAATTAACTATTAATCCAATAAATATTTAACTGTATTATTTATATTAGAATGAACTGTGAAACGTTTTATGATCTGAAATAACTTCTGCATTTTTATCACAAATTAGAAGCTATTAAAATTAATAATCTCTGACTTCTTTTCTTAAAAGTGAATAGTCATAATCTCTGTTATAATTTATTTCAAATAATTCCACCGCATAGCTCTGACGATTTTAGTAATTGTTATCGACGAGAGAGTTGTGACAAAAATGGGGCATTGAAACACAGAGAAATAGAGATATACAATCGTATGTGAGATACCACCTACACCGATAAAATCAAGAACTCCACGAAACATTTTCTCGTCAACAAAATCAATTTTATACAAAGAATTGTATTCGCGTGATTACCAATCACGGTCGGTCTTGCACGAGGAAGAAAAATAGTGTCAGTGTTAGCCAATCTCTACTACAGTACTCTTGACACCTGCACCAGAATTATTTCCGAAAGTAGACGGGAGGTGCGTCGGATTTATACCTGAATCGGTGTATCTAGCGATGAGGTAACCGATCGCGGCGTACAGACAACCGTCGAAAGCGATCATTATCAACAGCAATCCCAAAGTCATCGAATCACCAGGACTCGATTCCTCCCACATGTTTGCCCAAGTAAGACCGACGCCTTGAACTTCTTTTCGCACCGCGTATAGGCATCCGTAACAGAAGCTCGTTGACATGCTCAGGCACTGAGAAATAAATCATTTTACGACATTCTTGACGATAGAACGAATCATTAGTGTCACGCGTTTAATTGCCGCAATATTTTTGGTTGCACTTTTGCTTTGCAAAACTAAATATGATTAGATAGTTGGCTCGACTCACGATTAAAAGTTTGTATCCGAATGCGAATACGGCCTCCATGGCGATAACAATGATGTACGGCATGTAAGTTAACAGGAACATGACGACCGTGGTAACAGCGGAGAGACTGGCGGAGCTAAATATTGTCGAGAGCATATAGCTGAAATGTGATTAAGATTTACAGTAATTAACTCCGGAATGGGAAATATAAGGAATAGGAAATATAAATAGATACTTACCAGAAGGTTACTATAGAGAAGATGTAATCGAAAAGTAAAATAAGCACCACGAGAGGATCCGAGCGTGGAAGGATTTTTCCAGCCAGTAAAATTATGGAAATCGTAATCATCACGATCGATAGCTCCGCGTAAGACGTGATAAACCAGGCCAGAGTGTTTCGCCATGGCTTCAATCCCATCACGCTCATTACCTGAAAAATTAATTGCAAGGGATGGATAATTATAGCGCCGCGTTTCTCGGTTAAAAATTAAATGTCAAAATTTTGTAGAGTCCACTCTAAATGATCTATAATTCGTGTCGGATCTTATTTATAATTTTTGTGATGTGTATTTTAATTTTTCAAATGTCTTCCATGTTACGGTAAAATTATAAATTATCTTTTAAATTCTGACATAAATTGTAGATAATTAAAAACAGACGTTATATATTGACAATAGTACCATAGAATTTTGTGATTCTCTTTCCCAAACGATGTGCCTGACGGCCGATCCAACGCACATCATTAACGCGAAGAAGAAGCACACTTGCAAACCTTGAGATTCGTAAAGTGTCGTTTGAAATCTATAACATTTATGTTTCTTGTTAACAAATAACTGTAAATAATTGTTAGTGAAATGAGAGACAGTAATATTATAATTTCTAATGGATTTATCCCCACGTCCTCTCGACAGTTACAAGATTCTTATCTCGAGACACGGAATATCGATTACTCACGGTACGTGTTTCCAACACGGATACGGCATCTGTTGCGTCACCGTCTTCCAGTTGAGATCGTATCTGCGCGTTTTCACCTTCACGATCGCGCGATCGACGGAGTCCTGAAGTTGAATGAAACCCCGAAGATACCTGAGATGCTCGATGAAGCTACTTTCCGGCCCGGGGATCCAAAATTGATTCTTCATTCGCCTGGTGGACGGCACGGAGTCCACGTCCATGCGGATCTTATAGGTGATATCGTCCGGTAATTCGTGATCCAGAGATCTCTTCGCCGGACGCGAAGAAGCGTCGTCCAAAAAGATCACCCCGGCCAGAAACTCGTTCGTGTCGGTTAAGCGGCTGGCCGCTACTTCCAGCTCCTCCTCCGTGGAAAATCCTATTGTCCTATTCACCAGCACGCATCCCATCATACCGTTTAACATGCCGATCATCGAGATCAGCTTCTTCGATTTTTTCAGCCGCAATGCGATCTCGTTGAGATTCAACTCGGGAAAGTCACCTACGTGACGACAATGTTTTTTAAACTAACTGAACACTTGTTTGTATTTTTTTTAACGCAGTTTTTAAGTTTATTTTTAAAATGAAAAAACTTTAAGCTTGAAACGTAGATAATACCTTTGAAATTGCCACCACCCAACGACTTGATCGCAACCTTCATGATGTCGGAGGACATTAGACTCTGTAATTCCTTCAAACTGTCGCCCATCTCTGTAAGATTGGCCAGAGACTTGAGAGTCTTCTCGACACTGTTCATCAGCACGCTGAAGTGTTCCATCTGCACGAAAGTTTCGTTCGTCAACGCCATGATCTCGGAGATCACAGTAGTATTAGGTGCGTAAAGAATCTGTCCGCGTAACAGAGGCTTAACGTACGACCAGATAATCTTTCCGGCGGGTATAGCGAGCACAGTTTTATACGTTTCTCTGCAGGAGTCATCTAAAATTAAGGAAATAATTTTTTGACATTAAATTGTTTTATTTAACAATTTAATGATCGTTCTGTACCTTCCACTTATCTCTTACTTGGCAAAGAATCGAGTTCCTTCTGATCGGATGCCTTGTTACTGTCCTTCAAGCTGGAAATAATTTTGTAAATTTGTCCCTCGTCTTGGTCGATCAATGTTTTACCACAGAGCAGTTTGCTAGAGTCCTTCAGAAAATCTGATTCTAAAAAAATTTACAAAATTTGATGAAAAAAGTGACAATTTTATTTGAATTTAATTGGATCTAAAGATAGTGCAGATTTTTACGTCGCACGACTTACTGGATAGTTCTTCATCCGTTTCTTCCGTGTCACTTTGTTCTGTTTCATTTCCGAAAGAAAAACTCGCCGATAGCTTGTCTTTGAAGAATGGAAATAGTTCCGCAACAACGCCAAGATTGTCCAATATAATTTTCCCTTCGGTCTCGGTTAAATTTGCGTTAGCTAATATACTTTTCACATTAGCGCTCATTAACTAAAACGAAGAAAAACATTTATCCAAATCTTTGTCATATTTAGAATCGATAAGTAAAACTCTTTAATTACGTTTTTGAAAATATAATCGAAGTTCAAGTTCTTCATCAATGCGATAGCGATATTTTGCGTCTGGGAGTCCTCCAATTGGCAGAGCGCGGAGCTAACTTCTTCGGCAGTCACGACATTGTTATCGAAGTGCAACATATCGCCAAGCTTCTCGGGTGAACAAATGTTATCTTTTAGACTAATGATGCCGCGTTCTTTCATGAAGACTGAAAGCATGTCTATCTTAGCTTGGCCTAAGGTGAGAGCGACCTCTTTGGTAATATCAATTCTGTCGATCAAATAAGTTTGCACGAAGTCCCAATTGTCGAACATTTCTTTGACAACATCTGTAAAATGTAAACTGTTAGTTTGAAGAAAAGTCGCCGTGTAACCTAACAAAATTTGAGCTTGAATTCAATACATTTCATATCCAGCAGTCCCAGGTTTTTAAAGATCTCCATCGATTCCAATGTTGAGATTAGTAAATGTAAATCATCGATTATTTCGTGATCGCCTATGAACGGTTCCACATCTTCGAGAAGTTCTTTCATCCTGTAAGAAAAGACACATTTTTAATATACAGTGTCAGATTGTTAAGTGTTATAGATTTTTTAATTATGGATAATTTTGAAGTTTTTTTGAGAGGATGAATTTATATACCCGTCGAATAATTTGTCGATTGTTTTATCCTTCAATATATTGACGATGCCCTCGGCGAGATCGGGAACGCCGAGAACGCTGGTGACGTCGTCGAGATCTATTTTACTAGCGACGTCCAGCAGATTTCCGCCTTCTCCGAGGATCGAGGACAAATGAAGCAAGATCTCCTTGAGCCAGACAAGATTCCAGGAAGCCTCTGAGCGCCAGAAAGACAGCTGCCGACTTATGAGATCCACGTCCAGACTGCGAGCCAATCGGCTCGAAATGTCCGATACCGACGGATATTTCGACGCCTTCGGATCGTATCGGAAAACCTTGACCGCTCTCTTCGAGCTGAGAAAATCGTACAGAACCGTCGCGTTTTGGCAGTCAACTTTCGTCCTGCACAGGGTCGTGTTCAGATCGCTTAGAATCGCGTTCACGTTGATAGTGGCGTTCGGTAGCGCGGCGTCGATGTCGGCGAGATCGGACTTTTTCACCACGTCGCGCAACGGTTTCCAAATCGGCACGTGTTTCTCGGCTAATCTGGTCAAGTTGTTGATACCCTCGTGAATGGTCGCCGAGTCCAGAATGTAAACGTTCTTTTCCAGCATGTCCAATATACTCAGAATGAACGTAACATACCTTGAACGTAATGACGATTGTAGTATATTACTTCGCGGCGCGTAAGCGACATTTGTCGCTCGCGTAATTTACGATAAGAGAATAAAAATACTTACAACCCTGGTCTAGAATACGTAGGACCGCCGACAAATTTGTAAAAGCATTCGTCCACTCTGTTACTATACGTCTCATTTTGGAAATCGATCAGGATATCGGCGATGTAATGCAAAGTAGTTTCGAACGTATCTAAGAACTCGTCTAGCGTCTTCTTCTTATTCAGATATTTATAATCTTTGACCTGATGGGGTTTCATTCAAATTAATTACTGATGCTAATGCTCTTCCACGCAGTTTATAATCGTCATTTCTTACCATATTGCCTGTTTTATTCCAGTTGAAGTCATTCATCAAGATGTTATGCACTTCCGATATATTTAATCGATTCATTTTACAAAGTAATTTTGAGTAGAGATTATGGTGCATCAATTGAGAATTTAAAATCTCCAGTGGAAGCGTAACGCACCACGTACAATTTCTAAAAACGTAAAATTGCATGTATCGTTAATTTTCTTTATTGTTAACTGATAAATTGTCATTTCTTAGTGACATGTTTACTTACGCAGTGTTAGGTTGAGTTTCCAAAAACTTTCTTAAAAGCGATATTGACTTCTTCACCATCGCATAAGCCAAAGTTCTCGTGTCCTGCAAACGTATTTTATTAGGAAAATTTAAATAACAAAGTCTTGTGCTTAACAAATTACTAATCCATATACATAGAAAACGTTCAATAAATGAGTGAAGATTGTCGTTGGTGTCTACCTTTCTCTTATATTGCGCGACGAACTCTTTTAAGGTGCCTTCTTCGAATGACGTCCACCACGCAGGAATTTTCGGCTGCTTGAAGCCTTCTGACGAAACGCGAATCAAAGTGGTTTGAAATTTCTGCACCTTTTGCAACAGCTGCGCTTCGTAAACACTTTCCGATTGAGGCATATTTGGCGTAGAGGAGCTGTCCTGCAAATTAATTTAAAGAACATTTAAAATTTAACTTAGTATTTATTGCTATCATCACTCAATCGATCGGACATTACGTTGTTTTTTCCATTGAATAGCAACGGATCCTGACAGAAGTTCGTAATACTGGTCAGCAAGCCCCTCTTCCTCACGTAGCTGGGTGGGATCAGGTATCGATCGATATCGCAGGGGTGCACTTGGCCGAGAAGGAACTTCTGTATGAAGTCGTCCAGCCTCTCGGACGAGACGAAGGTATCGACGAAGGTGATAAAAAGATTAGGCGCATCTTCCGCGAGTGTTAGCAGCGACTTGTACTTCGAGGTCTCGGATATGACACGCAGCTTCTGCCAGATATCTCCGCCGGACGCGAGATCGACCACGTAGTCCAGGAGCTGAAACAGTTTCCTGGCCCCGACAAGGTAATCCGTACGGTATGACGTCATGTTGAATCTGTACCACGCGGAGTTTCGGTACTGATGGATCCAGGATTTCTCAGACCTCAGGATCAGGGCCCAGGTTTCGTTGGACAGACTCCCCCACGTCGTCGCGTTGAAGATGTTTGATCTGAGACTCACCCCTGGCGACGCCGCGGTAAAATTCGAGACAATGTCCAATAATTTTGTTAACGACATAATTATCGGCGTCGATCTCAATAAGGCAGTTGTCCGACCGGTGATAAGATCCTGTAGAAAAAAAACATGTAACAATATAAATGGATTATTAGAAATGTTTTAGAGAGATTTAGACCTAATTAATAAGCGTGTTGTTAGATTAAGTGAATCATTTAAATTATGTTGCTTTTATCGTACGTGGTATTCGTCGCTCGTGGCGGTCTTCAGCAACTGATAAGGATCGAACGAGCACACTTCCTGTAGAAAGCGCGTTCTGTTCGTCGTGGACCAATAATCGGAATTAAAATGCTGAGTACACATAGTTTTCCTGATATCCTTGAAGGGCATAAACTCGTTGGTCGTATCGTTAAACGTGCTAAGGGTGGCAACTAACGCGATAGTCTCTTCCGGATGAGCCTCCAGAATCTTCAGCATTTGACGCGTATCGCCATTCTCTGCTAATTGCCAAGTTTCCAATTTGTTGTCGTGCATCGTGGCACTCTTCAACGCGTTGCCAATGTGGATCAAAACCTCCGACACGCCCTCCATCAGTAATCTGTAATTCGACCATCCTTGACCTAGCTTCAATTCCTGAAAAAGGACAGTCATTTGCTGCATCATTTTTGTGCGAGAATCATTCGATTAAATCTGAAACTTTCGCTTCTATAAAAAGATATGACACTTATCGTTCAGCCATATTTACCTTGTGCAAAGGACTCTCTTCGCTCCCGATCTCTAGACTCTCTTTCATCATCTGCAACATATGGTCCAAATATCTCTTCGAGAACGGCGGCTCGATAATTACGTTGTGCTTGACTGTGGTGCTAATAGCTTGGGCAAGATCGTACAAATCGCCGATTATTGAAGCTACGTAAGATCGATATGTGCTGGCGGGTTTATCCCAGATTGTTATTTCCGCCACATAGAGATCCATGTAGACGTTAAAGTTCTCAGGATCGAGATCGCAAGTGAAATTTTTCAAAGTTCTGTACTCCTCGACACTTAGACCGACTTTAAAATCCGAAAACCAATCGAATATCATCGAGCATGTGATTGTAGTGTTTTTTTCCAATGCTGTGACAATACGATCGTCTATTTCAGGATCGGATATCGCGTTTATCAGCGTCGACAGAATGAAAGGTAACTGATCGTGGAAAATAGTAATAGGGGAGATACTATCGAATCCTAACAAGGATAATAAACTGATTTTTCCTGTGCCTAAAAAATAGAATCGCAAAAAGTTAAACAAATCAAAATAGTCAATAATATCAATTGTCGAAGAGTCACAAGCGTTAATATTTCTACAATAATTATTATTATTCAAAAATCCATTTACCGTTTTTCAATATACCGCTCACGACACGTGCGGTTTTGTGAATAACGTTAGAAGCATATTTCAAAAAGATAAGAACGCGATCAGTAACGTTGACCGATGGTTTCCAAACTTTACTTGCAGAAAGGTCACTCCCGAAAGGTGCGATTGCCTTGTCGATCTCTAGGTCGATATGATCCAAGGTATTTCTGAAATAAAAAATAAGGAAATAAAAAGGTATCTCGTATGCTTCTCTTCTGACTGTATTAAAAGTTTAAAGTTACGATATTTTTATCACGCTAATCGTTCATTAAGTAATATAAAATATGAGTTTTACCTCCAATCATTTTGCATGCTTGGAAATCTTTCCTCCATAATGCTGTCTGATTCTGTCACGAGTGTCGTTAGGTATTTCTCCAATTTCGGTTCTTCCGCCAAAACAACATCTTTAGCGTCATTTATCAAATCGCTGAACTTTGTCACTAATCGTCGAAATTTCGTGTAGCCCAGAGTCCAGTTGAATGGCGGTAAATCTACATTTTCATCATGCTCGAACTAAAAATTAATAAACACGTGTTCAATGTGACTATTCCCACATAATTCGTAACTCAAGATTTATGTTACTTTATATTATTTTTTTTTTTTTATTATATTTTGTAATACATTTTAATCGGCAATAAAAGCTGTTTCTTTGTGATAAAGGAATAGATAAATAAATAAATAATTAAATAGAGTATAAACTCACAATTTTTCGAACCCTCATTATTACCGGTTGCTCTCTCCACTCTTTGATAAATAGAGTTGGGTTGCAAGCGATCCTTTCAATCTCTCTAACGACTTCCCGACTTCCGTTTCTTAGTTCTAATGCAGCGCCAACGCTTTCGTTTAAAATGCAGGGCCACATTACTTCACGTTCTTTGTAATCGTCAATAGCCGATATCTAATGACAAAGGGCATTTATCACGATATATCTCGCAGAGTGGAGCAATTGTGGTTGCTCAAAATTAATGAAACAAATAAATTTGGAAAATGTCACTTACAAGAGGCACCGGCCTCAGAGTTATCATGTCGACTATATCGAGAATGACCGGGGATAAATTTCTTAGGAACGTGCCGACAAGTATCTCGGTCTGCGGCATCTCCTGCAAAACGTCGGAGAGCCTCGCCACGTGGCCGCGATTCTGGATCTGATCCACGATCTTCTCGATATTGTCGAAAATCACCGAGGTCACCCACGCGAGCCCGTAAATATTCTTCCAACTTTTCTTGGTCTGTATTCCGAACAACGGACTCTCCATCACGTTAAAGACCTTGCAGATTAAACCTACGCTGCAGACATATGTAATGTGTTACTGATCATTTTCATATATTGCGATCAAATCCCATGGCATACACGCGACAATGAATTTGCAAAAGATAGCACAAGATTTGTGCGTGCGAATTAAAGCGCATTAAACATATTTCTTACCTGATCTCCCACGCATCTTTCGTCGTTACGTTCGTCGTCCACGAAATCTTAAAGTTCTCCCTCAATTCCTCCAATTTCTTCAAATCGTAATGCTGATCCTCCTGCTGCACCAGGGTATCGACGTATTGGTAAATCTCGATTGTCTTCTCGTTGAAAGCCGTCCAATTAAATTCCCTCAGCCTGTAAGTGGCTTCCTCGATTTCGATGTTGGTCACGTTCAATTCCAGATTCCTTTGCACAATTTTGGATAGATAGCACGTCAATTCCTTCAGAATCGTGCTATTCGATTCCTTAGGAAAATTCAGCAAATTCGGCGGATTCAATTCCGTGCAGTACGTACGCGTGAAATTGGAATACTCCAGGATCTGCAAGGCCTGTTTCAACGAAAATCGCATTGACATTTAAAATCGGAATATAATTAAACGGAATATACAATCGATTATATTATACAAAATCTGAGAAATAAGACAAGATTGAACCCGACCTTTTCTTTATCCGTGATGGTAAGGTAAAACGATTCGATTAACTCAGCTTCGTGTCGGCGTACTTCCCCGATCCAGCTGGTAGGATTATTTCGTAGATCTTGCAAAATTACTTCAGCTATCATATCCATATTTTCCAGATCCGGTTTGACGGACATGTACGATAAACTGCGAATACCCAGCATCTTCGCTATGCTCAGATGAATTCCCAAGCTAAATAAACATAAAAGACAAATTAGTGCAAATTAGAATATTTCGTAGTTTATGAGTAAAAGCAATAAATTGATTGTGAGATACTGGATGCACAAATTAAATCACTTTTTATTCAGAAATAATTGTGTACGAAAATATAATTAATATAAGCGCTAAATAAACGAGTGAATTGAAGAACATCTGCTTATAAGTATTGTTTAATACATTCACAGCTTCAATCTAAACAAGTACATAAATAAAATTTATATTGCTTGTATCTGCTATTTGATTTGTTCTTTTTCTACTCACACATCTAATCTTCCTTGATGTTGCATCTCGTTGAAAGTTTTTTTCCATTCATCAGTGATTTCAAAAATGCCCCAATTTAAGTACTTTACTTTTCGCGCGTTCAGATAAGCCACGAATCCTTTGACATTTCTCACAACGGATGTTAAGTTTGAATTCTCAACCCTGACTACTTGTTTGAATGCCATAGTGACCATGGTCGATAAAGTATTTGTCACCTGAAAAATGTAAATTCCTTTGATTATAAAATTAAAACTCAAGTTATTATTTTATCGTTAATCAATCGTTGTACATACAATTTTCCCAAACTTCTCGAACTCAAAACTGTCATAAACGTCGGCAATGAATTTCTTTCCGTCATCGCCGCAGATTAATTCGTTTATTTCTTTGGATTTGTCTTGAAACTCAACATAATTCTCGAATATCTCTTTCATTGTGCCTTCTTGGCAAAACACTTCTTCGACTTTCCTTTTTTTAACATCATTTACGAGACGCTATAAGAAAAGTTTAGAAAAGCATAATTTTATTAGCTTGATTTAATGATAATTACAATGAAATAAATGTTTAAAGGAAAGCATAATAAGAATATGACACATATCGTGTAATAAATATGACAAACCTCCACAAAATCTAATCGGGAAAAGGACCGAATAACCGTTTTGTACACAGTAGGTTGGAAATTTGTCAATATCTTTTGAACTAAATTCTGATGTCTTTTAGAGATCTCGTATAATCTTCTCAAAGTTTCTTCGTGAATGATAGCAACATGATGGATCATTTGCACGATATTATCCATCAATGATACAATGTATGTAACTGAATTTACTATATTATCGGAGAAGAAGCTTCTGAGACCATCGAAAACTTCAGCGGCTCTAGGAATTAAAAATTAAGTAATATTACAGTTGAATATTAGTAGTTCGCCTTAAAAAAAAAAGATACTTACAATTCAAAACCATCCACGTGGCGATCCAGTAGTTTATTAGTGAGCTTGATACCATCCTGCATGATCTGAAAAGACAGATCTAATATCTGCGTGATATTTTCATAATTATCCGGATTCGAGGAGATAGCCGATATCGCCCCGCGCAACCGATCCATCACGCTGAAGAAATCATCCGTGGAATTGACTTCGCGGTTTTTGACAACTTCTTTCACCATCTTCAGGAGTCTGTTTATTTTCAAAAATCCGCTTCGAGCGACCGGCCAATCTCGTTCGTATGCAAATACGGGATCGAGAACCACGAGGGCTTTATTGATGCTGAAATTAGAACGTCACGTTCATATTCTTCGAGATATTTTGATATAACTTTGAGAAATTTAATTGGAAACTTGAAGAAATAGGTTTGTGGGGACGAAACATCGCAAACAGACTTACAAATCCAGATCAATTTCCTTAAAGTTTACATTTTGAAAGACCAAGATTATTTTTGGCAGCCATTCACGGATCCTCAAGTACTCCGGTATGTACTTCTTGGATGTTTTCAAATCGAGGATGGTCTCCGTTGCCCGTTTCAGATCCTGGAAGAAATTGTAATCGCGAAACTTCGCCATCGCGCGGTCGACCATCTCCAGTAAACCAGTAAAGTCCAGGTGTTTCGAAAGATTCTCCAAAATATCGGGGATTGCTAGCGGGTCGATGTTGCAAAGAACATTCGAGATCTCCGCGAAATCCTCCTCTTTGGGTAGAATCAAATACTTCTTCAGGCTTTCCGGCGAGCAAATGACGCCGTCGATGTTAGACGAACCGAAAGTTTCAATTAACTGTGGATAAAAATTGATAAAACTAATTTTTTTTTGCGCTGCAGAAATAAACTTAAGGAAACAGATGTACCGCTAATGTTTATGCAAGATTAGAAGAAATTACTAGAGGTATCGTTATAATTAGTGGCATATCTGTTTAAACGAATGTGATTACTTACGTATATTAATTTTACGGATGACTCGAACAAACCGTCAATCAAGCCCTCCCTTGCTCTCGGCATATGAGATCTAAGTAAGTTCTTAATTTCTTCGTGATTGTTGAACAAGTCGCCCAAACGAATTCCTCTATCTATCCGACACATTCAGATATTTAATTATCGAATTCAATATCACAAAGTTAAATTTCAACTCGTTTGCCGTATAATCGTACCAAAAAGCGCCTTGATTTCCGGCTTGGTGAGTATTTGTGCCATTGACTTCAACAACTGGATACTCTGCGGCAGTGTTTCCACAGCGGAGATAATCGTCTTGTTATTGACCATCGGTTGCAGTTCCACGATTAAAGGACCTAAACTAATATTGCAAAGAGAAAGAAAAAGAGAATGAACTATACTTTTCTGGATTTTAATGGATTAGGTATAAATAGCCGTTGCGTAAAAACTAACGTGGCGTTTTTGTACGACGGCACCTCCTCGTATTCCGATAACGGATCGCAGGGACTTCCGACGCTGCATATGTAACTCTGCACGAAAGGCAGAAGCCCGTCTTGTGGCATCGACCTCGCGTGAAACTGACACGTCGGATGATACTCCGGCTCGACATTGTCGCGCACCGTGTAGAGAATCATGAAAACCACTACTGGCCAGAGAAAAATTAGGGCCAGAATTCCCTGAAATTATTTCGTATGATTTAGATGTACTTGATGAAGCAGAAAACAGACATTTCGTTAAATCGACAAACTTACTGGCTGTCGCTTCCGAATGATGTAGTTCTTCCAAAGAAGAAGCCCGAGCTGATCGATCTTCATTTTTAATGGAGAACGGCCGATATTTAGCGCTGCAAATTATTTCGAGGGGTATTTAGTGGACTAAACAAGCTGATTGCAATTAAATGTAAAATGAATGAAAAAATGACTTGATTTTAAAATTTTATCCTGAAAAAAGTGAATAATTAACCTTTAATAAAATATCTTTTTTTTATCCATTCCTGCAAAATTCTTTACATGTACAATCGTCTTGCTCACGCGATTTCACGGATTTCACGGATCTATTCATACTTGGAATTTATCTATTTATATTTGGAATCTATCTTGATAATCTTGTAACTACTGCCTATTATGTACGAGGGATCGATTATGTAAATAAGCTTGAAAAAATAATAATATATTCGGTTATTTCAGTTTATTAATTATTCGGTTTATTGATTATTCGAAACTTTAGAGAGAAAGGTAATTAAAAAATAATAGATAAAATAATATAAACAATATTTATATAATAACAAGCGATAAATAATAATCTGAATATAATTAAGTATCTCAATACTCAGAAAAATCGATAATTGAACGCTATGTAATAAAATATTATCGCTATTTAACAAATACATCCAATTATTTGCATATTACAAATTAAGACATTTTTTATGCAATCCAAGCGTTACGTTAAAAAAAGTTATGTAGAGTCGCAAAAATTTCTGACGATAGCCGACAGGCGTTTACGACCCAACGAGATCTCGCTTGTAAAACTGCACCGAAAACCTCGCGCGATACAATGGAAAGTTTCGCGAGTTCGCGTGCAGCCACGCCGTATACTTTTGCCGTCTTAAGAGTGCTCGAAATGTGTGGAATCCACTTGAACCGAGTGCACTCGGAAAAATGCTGTCGGTGAATGGTGACCTATCAGAAAATTTTATCGCCGCATGAAGAAACAGCTGAAAATTTCTCACCGTTGCAGAGTTGCATTCAACGTCTTACGTATCCATTACTAAGCAGCGCAATCATGCGAGTAGCACCGGCGAATCCACTTTCATTGGGAATTCAGGCTCGGGGAGATACGCGAGATAAATAGCACTCCGAAATTCCCCCGTCGCGCAAAGGGTACGGAGTGAGAGATCGGACTGACAGCCGATTAAAATTAAATGTCCGTGCAACGTCCGCACAAATATATTTTATGTTCCAATATTCACATTGCGAAACGAAATCTATTGTTTACGCGTACTTTATCTTCTTATCGTGACGTTATCGCGCGGTGCTAGTTTATTTATACTATTACACATATATGTACATTTATGTACATATATGTAGATACATATTTTACATTTTAAATTTTTGCGAAAACAAAAATTCTATATTTACTGCTATTTTTCTGCTCAGACTGCCTCAGTCGCCTGCGAATGTCCCATCGACACTGCCGCTTAGTTCCACTCCGGGAAGAATCCGATATTTCAATAAGACCCGTGAATTGTCTATTGTCCTTTCGCCGGAGATCCGCTCTGCCAGTCGTTCTATCTAACACACGGCCCGACGACCCGAACTCGACTAGTTCTATTTGCCAAACTTTGAATACACGGCCGTTGAATTTCACGGTCTCGTCCGAATCTCTCGGAAAGGGTCCGCGTTCCACGAAGGGTCCGTTTTAATTATCCCCCAATTACAATTATTTTATCTTGAGAAAAGATTGCGCGAAGCAATTGCAAAGATTAGCATCTACGTACTGTAACGTGCGTTCGCGTCATTTAATCAGCTGAAGTTCAAACCTGTTATGTTAATTCGAAGAAAATAACGTTACAAAAAAAGTGTCAGTTACAAAAAAAGTGCCACAGAAGCAGTGCCTCGCGGAAGTGGGGGGATAAAATTTATGATTAATCTACCGATATCGAAAATGGAATGTTTACATTTTACTGCGAGATTCAACGCAAATACACATGCATATATACATGAGCAGCGTGACTAATTTGCGTGTCTGTCGATGCAGCTGCAGCCGGAAGTGCGTATACTGTTCTGTCGCGTGCTGCACTGGACGACAGGATGCATTACAGAGATATGGAGTAGTGAACCGAGCGGCGGTTCTCGTGCAAGGATAAAATGCGTATCAGAAATAAATATCCTGTCTGCATCAATCTTTTTCCGGGGAGAAATTGCAAATGCAGAGCAACGTGTGCGCAAAGACCAGAAGAAATACGATAACATTTATTTCTGGTTATTAGTCGCAACTAATTTCAGTCTATAAACGAATCTGTTGTAAAATTATTAGAATATATGTATAATGTATATATTAGTAATAATATAGAACGTTTCAAATAAGTTTGCGTTGCAACAGAAATTATATTAGGCAAAAAAAAAACATTAACAAATATTATTTCTCTTTCACAAAGGTTTCTTACTGCATAATTATGCAAAAACAATCGAACAGTCACAATAATTTGGCTCAATTTACAGAAATTACGTATCACGGCAGACGAAGGCAATTAAATCCAATGCCGCGTTTTATCAAGAAGAATTTTTGTCAATAGCTCCTTCTTTCTTAATCGCGTGACCTCCAAATTAATCAGCATTCGCAGTCGCGTACACGACGACCAGTCATTCGTATACGATTACATGAGTCCCTCATGAGATAACGAAGATCCGTAGTAATTATTGATTTGCTAATCCCGTGGAGGAATATGTCATTAACGTAATCGCAGAGACGGATGCGGCTGCACTTACAAAGAACTACATGGCTGTAATACGATTGGCGGTGCACAAAAGTACAAGCGTGCGCCGTCTTAAATATTCTGCAATGCAGTCTGCATCCCGTGCAAATGCATGGTACCCAGGCAATTGTAATACAATCAGTAAGGAAATCATTCCTTGGAAGAAATAAAAAGGAAGCATATTACTATTCTATCTAGAGTATCTAGAATTATTTTTCGATAGAATTATTATTGAATCAATTAAAAAAATGATTTATTTTTTATTTCTTACTTATTCTTTTACGAGAAATCGCCTTTTTCAAAGATTGTAGCACGATTTATTCAACACTTTGTATATTATATGTGAGTAAATAATATTTTACTGCTAACGAAGCACAAACGTACAGGAAGGACACTTCCCGATGAGACTCGAGATAGTATCGTCGAAAGTTTAGCAAATATATAATTAATCAGGCGAAACCCATGTACTACAATATTATTTATACGCCTTCTCTAAAACACAGTGTTCCTCATATGGCGTCCTTTGTCACATAAAGTTTCACAAAAGCGAAAAGATGCAGCCTAATAACGCAATTCTAATGCAGCGGCACATACAGCTCCTACAAAATTCGATTCAGCTCATAAAAACGTATTGCGTATTACTCAGCCACGTTTCTTCTTTAAATGAGCAATTACATAAGCGACCGGAACAAAACTGTGATTTTTTACAAATCGAGATGATAATGACGCTAATAGAAATTAATTTGCATAGTTTTTGTCGGGTATAATTATCGCGAAATACGACTTCTTTTGGATTTCATTCAGTGACCATGAATCACGAGTCGGTTATTGCCGTTTATATCGCCGAGGCGCGAGCGAAATTCTGGTTCTGCGGAAAATCGTGCAAAAAAGAGGCATTCCGGTCCGCGCCCAGAGCTTCGTTTATTAACACTCCGCGAACAACGCGCACTTTCACTGGTTCCGTGCGGTGTACAGTTATGCGATTACGGTCGCGGTTACGGCGCCCGAATAAACTCGAATCATTTCGTAACAATCGCCGCGTTCGACACATGTAGACTTAATGATACCTTTTTTTTATGCGCATTTGAAGAAAAACACCGCGTTGTAAATCAAAGCGGGCCCGCCTGTCCTGCAGACAGCGATTAAAGTTCATCACTTCTATACACCGCAGTGGAAACAATTAAACGCGGAGAAGTCATTAATCGTGACCTTTTTCAATATATCAATGGCTTAACAAAAAATAATGATCTATTATGCGATGCAACAGCCTGTCAAATAATCGACCAGTAGTAACGAGACTTTGTCACGAAGCTATAAAAACGAGACAGTGTCGGCGCAACCGCAATCAATCAAATATTATAAATTAATAAATCTAAATGTAAATGTAAATTCTTCTGTCAAATTGAATCAATACACGCGATTGCAACAATGAGTTCCATCAAGCGTGCGTCACCTTCTCACGTTTCCAAATCGACATACATATAGTAGGACTACGCGATCGCCACATGAAAGCCTTCAAAAAGTGTCCGGTAGAATTGACCTCTACCAGTAACTATCTCTTTTCTTCGGCCGATGAGTCACCGGTCATATTTTCCTGTACCTGAGCGCAGTCCATGCTATGTGTCGATCCGTTTCCAGGTGAAAATCCGCGATCCTATTTATTAATATGTGCGGCGCGGCCTGTAGTCCGAATATGCGAGTGTCGTTGGCACGTAATTATTACACGCGGCAGTGACCGTTGTTGCGACAACGGGATAACGCAACTGCAAGACAGTAACGTAAGTTTCATTTTATAAATATTCTTTCATGCAGTTACAGATAGTTTGCATCAGGATGCATTGATACATTGAAGTAATAAATATTATTGATTAATATATTAATTATATTAATACCGCGCTTTTAAAATTAAATGTGAATGCATTTAAAGACGATGTTTATAGAAACGATGCCCAACTCCTTTTCCCCTCAAGTCTCAAGATGTCAAATTGATTCGAGGAATAATTCAATTCAATCTTGCTAAACTGGTATTCATTTCAATCTTGCCGAACTGTTGTCTTGTGCAAGTGTCTCGTGCACATAAGTCTCCGTCTACTTTTAAGTTTCCACACAAGATCTCGAAGTCAAGCAGGGTTCAAAGTTCAAGGCCACCGACGTCAAGTATCGAGGGACAATCGTGACTAAGCAGACTAATCTCCTTCTGCTGTCGAGCGATTAAATTTTCACGAGACAGTCCTCGTTGAGGTGAGAAATTACCGAATGAACTTTCTCAAAAAATCTGTGTTTACAAAACGCAAGGTTAACAGGAGCATATATACATATTGGAATATCGAGCATATAAATACAACTTTCGTGTCGTAACATTATGTAAACCAGATTTGTGAATATATTACGATCGTAGTACGTAATCAGTGGGTATTGAGCGGTATTAACACGTTTTTTTAAATAAATGTCGAATGTGTTTTATCGAGACGTGCGAAAAGGATATGAAATCGGAAGCATATAATGCAAAATAAAACTGCTAAAAGCCGTCATTTGGAGATTTGCCGACATCTGCATTAAACGTCAAAATTTATATATTTATACCGACAGGTTATACGTGATTAAGTAATCAACGTGACGTCGTCATGCCTTCAGCTTGCATGCATTAAAAAGTAGCGAGCATGTGCAATAAATTCTCTATTTTCTTTCTTACTCCGTCAGTTTTTATCGATCTTGGACATTGACATTTTGCGCGTTAATTAAACAATAGAATATTATGTCTATTGTGTCCAACAAGTGAGATCGCAAATGAAGTAGATGCGAGGAGGACGAGGAGGAGTGATTTAAAGTACTAAACCGCAGTTTTTCCGCTTAAACATCACCACATTATCTCACGAGGGGCAGAAATAAGTTCACGGTCGCTAATAAAGTTACATAAAATATGAAATACCCGAGGCGTTTGATATACAAATAAAACACTTTTTAAATAACGTCTCTCGAATAAAGAGACAGATTACGTTCGAGAAAGAAGTAAAAAGTGAAGAATATACGAGTGGATTTCTTACGAGCATATATTCCAGCGGAACGAGGATTATGAATCGGACTTGTCGGATGGAAGAGTTATTAGACAAAGTTCGATACAGGTCGACCGGAGTCCGCGTCTCCGCGCGAACGCGATGACAATTAATCTAGAAGAACGATCGGGCTGTAAGGTGGGGAGAGAAAAAGAAATCGTTCATCGAGTGTCGTTGATTGCCCTCGCAATACCATCTGCGTTTGACAGATGTGAACACGGCGTACACATATGCGTCGCGTGTGAATGGCAAAAGTCTTTGCAACGAAGAAGTTCAGGGTCGCGTGCGATCGCACGAAGTAACCACGAAGAGGAAGAAATGCATCCTCGCTTTTCTCGGAAACGTCGTGTGATGGTTTCGTCGGCAGCGACAGTGGCAGCTGGTCGAGCAAGTTTCCCGGCCGTCTCTCGGCGAGGATCCTCGGAGGAGGAGCGCGATACTGGAGAAGAATCCTTTCGCTATGAACGATGCTCGTTCGCGTTTTTCCGCAAGAACACGATGCCTACGATGGGAATTTTTTAGTTCAACGAACACTGTGCAACGTGTTCTTTAAAGTAGCATTCGGAAGCAAAGTACGAATTGTTAGCAGCGGATTATGCAAGATTAGACGAGATGATTTTTTTTGCGAGAACGCTAATTGCTCACGTGACTCACTGCTCGATGAATATCTAAGTAATATTTCTACGTACATATACTTTAGAAATCTTAAGGCCATAATAATTGATCGTACCGCTGTTTAGTAGCGCGTTATGTGAGATATTCTTCAAAGATAGCAATTATCTCTATTTTAATTTTCCTGCAACTAACGATAACAATAGTTGCAAAACAATAGTTTGAAATAGTAAAAATCCTCCGCTACTGCCTACGATTGCTGTCAACTTTTGTAACTTTATAATCAATATTACCGAGCAGCAATTCATGCCTATAATTATATATATATCAACGATTGATGTGTAGCAATAAAAAGAAACGCTGTGTAATTGTCGGGTAAAAAATTAATTCATTGCATAAGATAATGGCCTCTTCAGGAACGACAATTTCAATAACTTTACATGCCACAAAGCTGTGAATTTCCGCATTTCTCTCTCTTTTTCTCTTAAACGCGACAAAGAAAAATATACGTTATATACTTACAGCCTTGAAACAACTGATCACCTTGCTTCCACGTTCCGTTAAAGTCTATAAAAAGCTAAAATAAACAACGGCGTATATGATTTATCCTTATTGGACCGCGCGATCGATCAGATTGCATAAATCACGGACAATTGGTCGCGTAGCACAGATCACGATCAACGATCCCCGCGGAGTTCGGCAACCCTTTCGGAGCACATCGCGGACTCGCGCGCGCTCGCGCGCGCACACACACCCCGAATAATGGAGAACTGGACTGGAGAACAACTCGCTTCGCGGCGGGATGCACCGTAGATGCACCGGCGAATTGCCCGTTGCGGTCAGCGCGCAAAACTCACACGGATCCACGAACGAAAGCGAACTTGTCCCGGCTTGTTTTCTTGTTTCGCGTTTTTCCCACAGCTACTCTCCTCTCTCGGCGGCGGCGGCGGCGGCGGCGGCTGCAGCCGGCGGAGATGATGACCGACGTTCATGCACACTTGAACGACGGCCGGGGGACGACTGTTACCACTACCGTGATCCACGACCACGTGGACCTTCGGAGTCCCACACACCATCTCGTCTGCCGCGTGTGTGCGTGCTTTGTATATAAGACGAGTACGAGCGAACCCGTGAGCGAGCGTGCGAACGCCTGATCGTGAATCGTTCTTTGATCGATCGATTGAGTCCGCGCGAAGCAGTCAGAGAAGATGTTAGAGACAATAAAATGGAAGAAGATTCGATTCCTTCATCACATAATATTTTTTTTTTCTAATCACAGCAAAAAAAATTGACTGATTTGATTGATAACCAATGATACCTCTTAGCCTGAGAATTTTTTATTTTTCATAATTGCGAAAATCTGATTAATCTAAATAGTAGATGCGTAATAATTATTTCGTTGATTATATGTTGATGAATACATAAAGATATTCTTTAGGCCACTGATTACAAAACACCAGTCGAATCTTAATGACATACATGCGGAAATTTATCTAATCTCGGTAATAACATAATTATTTCGAAGAGGAGAAAAACGAATGGATATCGCCGTGATTTTCCGAACACACGTATCTCGGTACGTGCGCGGAATCGTGCGAGAAATCGCAAATCCTCGTGAGAAAAATGGCGAATTCTACATTCCGATCTCGTATGGAGTACCCCCACACAACGACATTATTCTCAATATCAAATTTATCTCGTTTAATCTATAAGTACATCGGAGTCTCCAGCGCAATAAATCGAATGAATTAGCGGCATGTTTTTAAAATTGTACCGCAGCGTGTATACGGTTTATTAAACCTAATTGGTTCGACGATCAAATTTCGAAGAAATATTTGGCTCCAAAAGCGATAACGCGATCTATTTATCAAACAATCGTGAAGGCCAACTGCGGGATCAATCAACTGACCTTTTGATTGCTCGAAGACTATATGGTAATAGCGATTTCCACAATGACGACGGTGCGGCCATTCGATGATGATTTAGCATTTAAACCGACGACTTATCGATTTAATATTAAAATGAAACTGCAGAAAAGACGCGAGATGTAATAAAATGACATTACACGTCTGTCTTTTGGAAATTTTTGTTGTCAGAAGGCAAAGCGCTCTCATGAATAATTAATTAAATCGTCAGAATAAAGTTGAATTAATTACAGTAATTATATGCATAATACGTGATATGCATTATACGGAAATCTCATTGCGGCATAATATGATCGTTTGAAGGCTCACCGATTTCACGTCATTTTGTATAGTTCCTATTATACAAACATGCGCATTGTTAATTAAATCACCATTTTGTAGAAATATTTTTCATCGAAGTTATTATAAGCATGATAAATATATAGATATACAATTATTTAGATTTTTTCGTGACAATAACACAATACACTTCCTTTTTACTTTCTTGTTTTTACAATTTCAAGAATAATTATTTTACGTTGCCTGCGCAGAAGTGGTATATGTTATTGTCACAGGATGCTCGTTATCGGTGCAGTTCCGCTGCACCATGTACTTATTACCCTCGAAGACAAAAGAAAAGCGCGCAAAAAGAAGGACTTTTTAAATTCAAGGTACGTAACTCCCGATGTAATTAATCAATGACATCGGCGAGAAATAAAAATGCGGCATTTAATGAAAAATTTTCTTTAAAGTCTATACGTACTTCACCTTTAGATTTCTGCTGAAAAATTACATCTCTCGAAGTCGTTTTGCATACGCACTTTTTATGATTAAATTTCCGCCATTACCGTTTGTACGTCATTGTAAAGTAATCCACGAAACTTGAAAACGTTCGCAATAAATTTGATATATCCTCGGTCTCTTTAATGAGAGAGCCTCCCATTAAATGGAACGTTATCTTTGAAAAATTGCCAGGAAGTTTTTTGCTCTCTATGAAAATTGTCAAATTATTATAACCAGTATGGTTCTGGGAGATATAAAGTTTTTATATTACTTTTAGAGCTGAGAGAGAAATGTTGGGCCGCGGCGCATAACGCATGAGTAGATAGAGAACGCCGACTACCTGTGGCTGAATGAGGAAAAGAATAGAAAAGGAGAGGGGATCCCCCGCTCTTTTTTAGGGTACATCTAAAAATAGGGCTGGCGTATTGGAAAAAAAGTGGGCAAAAAGGCGGAAACCCGTCTGGCGAGAGCGAATCCGGATCGGACATCACATTCCACCTGGTGGAAATTGAGAAATTGAAAATGATAAGATTTCTCTCGATCACTCGCATTCGCGAAGATCACGTATTCACGTGCGCGCGTACGTGCGCGTGTTACATAATAACCAATAATTGTTTACGTGTAAATTGGCGTAACGTTAATTATGGCACCATTAGGCAGCACGGCAAACATAATTTACTAGATGATCAAGGTACCATTTATCGTGTCGCAATAGCGGCCGCGAGAGGGATGTAACGTTTGCGGTGCAACTCGAAAACGCACTGCATGTAAATAAATGATAATTTTATAAATCGTTGACGAGTCGATGATAATCTGGCTATCAGAAGAGAATGGGACGTGTCAAAGAAATTTCAAATTTCACGAGAGACCCACGTTTGTGAAACTCTTTTATTTTCATAAGAATATGTAATTTTGTAAATTTTTTATATTAACTTACATAGAGCCGCTTTACAGTAAAATATCTGCTTCTGAATTAATTTATTCGCATTATAATATTCGACATAATTCTCATTATAATATGAATTCATTATTAAAATAATTATGTAGCAAACGGAAATTGAAACCGTCATGAAAAAGACATTATTTACATATCAGTAATTAAAAATAGATTTTGCTTTTATGTAATAAAGTAATAACAAATAATAACAAATTGATTGCTGTAAATACCGATATGATGTTGTCTTATACAACCTTATATTATATTACAGCTGTTATTGAATATCTGGATATTATTAAATTAATTAGCTTCCTACTTCTCTGCATAATTTACAAAATAGAAAAAAAAGAAGCATAGATAAACTCGATATTTGTCTTGATATAATAACACTATATGTTTTTACGTATATAATGTGTTATTATCGAGTACCGGCATTCGATAATGATATTACGCCTATAAAGCTGCAGAAGTTCTTCTTACATTCCATCCTTGTATAAAAAATAGAAACGGAAAACCTACGGGAGGTGTTTCACGGAGATGCACCTCGACAATTGTTATATACGGACAATAGTCATTTATTTGCTCGAAATATTACGCGGCACCACCCCAGATCTTTCCATAAGCGTTCGCACGCACGCGGTCACCGAGGAGTTACCCAGGATAAGACGAATAGTCGCGGTGAATGGTATCTCATTAGCCGACTTCTCACGTGCTTCCGCGATGGCGTCAGATGTTGCACCGATCGCGGATCGGTCGCAGCCCGCGTGTGTTGCGATGTGTCTGCTTGATGATATCAAGTTGATATATTACGGCGCGAGTATTATTCCTTCGCGAGCGACCGATTTTATTAAATTTCCCGACAATCTGTCAAGCGAGCCACGCCGGGTTCGCCCGCCTCGACACAATCTCTGCGATATCCCGTCCTCGGGAGACTGCAGCCACTTCGCTCGGATGAGGGCGCGAGAAGTTACGACGAGGAAGAAGAGACACCCAAGGAGAACGGATACCCAATAAATATTCCAGGACGCGCATTAGATATCCGAATGTCTTGCGATATTCAGATTTATGGATATTTGTTATTGCTGCCGTACTTCAAGTTCCCCAAGTCCCGTAACGGGGAGTTTCCTGCCGAAGCTAAACCGGGCACCGGAACGGGAGTTTTGTCGTGAGACAGATCAATAGGGCTGGGATACGCGATAGCGGGCATCGATTGTTCGCGCTTGGCCGATTACGTAGCGCAATTGGGAACGGAAATACGATCGCGCGCGACAAAATTCGCTCGAAATAAATACACGGCACGCGACCGGGAAACGCGACGGTCGTATATTGAGCGCCGCGGCTTGAACGATAGGTAACTCCCCCGATCCGTTGTGAAATGTTTTTTCCGGCCGCAATTTAGCGGACACTCCACGTTGGCAATTAGATACTTCCAAGATGACTAACGTCGGAGGCATTGCATAAATCCGTAATCCGCGACTCCGGCGCGGCATTTCGTCCTTCCGTTCCCCACAGAACGGCATCCCTAAGTCGCGTTACACGCGCGATCTGTCCCACTCTCTCCTTCTCGAAATAGTCTTCTATTCGCTCGGAGGATGATGGAACACTGGAAAGAACGGAGCTATGAGCGATTCATACAATGAACGATCGTGAAAAGTGGGTTATCGTAATCGTGAGAAAAAAAGGAGAGACGAAATAGGAGAGAAGTATGCGAAATCGAGCGACTTCTTTTTCCCTCGACTCTTAGCTTAATTCTTAAAACGGAGTGTATGCGATTCAATGAACTGGCTCGACCTTTCAAACACTAACGAAACTGCGAGCAAATAATCAGGCGGCGCATTATCTTCATTTTATGTCGTTGCACCCGATTGCGAGAGAACGAGCTGCTCTCTTTCCACGGAAATTCCGTAGATTGCGCGAGTATAGCCGCTTGGAAAAAGAATTGACTGAATATACTTGGTGGACGTACTAACGCTGCAGAATACATCTCGCTATCTCAAGCCTGGAATCGTAATTAAACCTCTAGCACGCTCGCTTCCGTCTCGATATCTTCTTCTTCGCACACACTGTACAAGCTTAGTTTTTGCATCAGCTATCAAAAGCCAATCTTACATTACTTTACCATCTCTCTTACTTAATTATATAATCGAGAAGTTATATCGCTTCTTAAGTACCGTCTACACTTGTCGCACGAATATTTGCATTCATTTTTGCGCAGCTGTTGTTTAAAGTGTGTCATTGTTTTTTTGTGCCCGTTAGGAAATTGTTACACGCGACGAACAGATCTCCGCCGTCTTCTTCTTGAGAGAAAACGTAATAACGAGCGCTAAACAGAAAAACCGGGATAAAATACGAGGTATTACATTGTGTTAATTACGGCCGAGATCAACTACCGGATACTGCGAACGCAAAAAAGTCAATAAAAATGGAAAAATTTAAATAAATGAATAAAATGCATAGAAATGATGTAGCGTGAAATCGATTATTTGATAATTACGATATTGTTCTGGATACTGCCCTGGATGGGCAGTATCCAATCTGAAACTGGAATAATTAAATTTATCGTGGTAATTAAGTTGCACGTATCTCTCTGCTCGGATATCCGCGCGTGTCGGCTCGCTCACAATCTTGCGCTTTGCGCGATACAGAATGTAATCTAACGACCCGCGATCATTAAACGAAATATCAGAAATTAGCGGTAAACGCGTCCGATGAACATATCCTTCGTGCACACTCCTGGTAATTATATCAAAACACTTCTCGATGGTACACAATTACGTAAACGAGCGTCGTACGTCATTGAAGATATTATCGAACAGAGCTTCCGGCCCCGGAATAAGTGATACGCAGTGACATGTAGAATCATTGAAGATCTCCAAGTAATTTGCAACCGCCGTACCTAAGGAGACACCGTCTGCAAAACAAGATGGTAGATCGGGGAGATACTTAAATATAAATGCAACTATCGGCGCACGACTGCAATGCGACATGTTGATCGGATTGTTGAAATCTTGCAATAAATCTTGAAATAAATATACAGTTACATCTTTCTAGCATAAAACTTATTCGCAAAGTATATATCTTTTTCCAAAGAATGCTATTCACCGTTAAAAATATTTTCTTCAATGTGTGCATTTTATCTGCATGTATTACATTTCGTTCTTTTTTCTGTCAAATCTTCCGCGATTCAAGTACATTTGAATACAGAAATTTCACGCAAAATTGTTAAATATATAGATTTTTAAAAATTATTTGCTTTATTCGAGATTAGTCTATCGTATATGTTTGGAATAGAAAATTAGATAGCTACCTTTCTTAGAATTTCGTAATGTAGAGCATCTTCACTTACGTGTACTATATGTCAGCCCGATAGATCACGTGGTCGAAAAATAGATGAAAAGGAGCAATGTTCTGAGAGAAGCAAAGAAAATGATAATCAGTGATGCGGAGTTATCAATACTTCCGGGAAACTGCGTGTCCGGTCAACGATTAAATGTCACGAACGGATTTTATTGCTATCCAGGATCGTCGCGGCCATTATAATTATTATATAACTATATTATAATTTATATAATTATATAATTATATTATAATTATATTATATATTAATAAACTTTATTTATCTCGGCATTGTTTGTTATTATTCGGCTGCAATTCTATAACGTAATTTTCCATTACGTGATTGCAAGCATAATTCTTAAAGTAATTTTTATCGGATAATCTAAAAATTATTAGAGAGAGAGAGAGAGAGAGAGAGAGAGAGATTTTAGCCTGTATATTTCAACGACTGTTAGTTGTATTTTATATTTATTATTTATAATAATTATTATAAATAAAAAATAAATGCAAAGTTGCGTTATTGCGTTTAATTTAATTAAAAATGAAAATACCGAGAGAATTTCTTCATATATCTTATATCTTTTTCTTCTTACGTTTGGAATATTTCCATTTCTAATAATCTTACTGCTCTAAACCAATAAAGCGTACACGACGCGACATCTGCCATTTGAGAGAAGAGTCAGGATAGACAAAAAGAAATTCGCGGTAGACAGTATTGCAGAATTTTGTAATAAATCGTTCAATGGATAACAGTTTGACGTTATTACTGACAGCGATAGACTTACCTGTGATAAATTACTGCTTAAATTAAGAATCGATTCGCGCGCGTTTGATTGTTCACTTTTAAAACAATCTTTTGTTCGCAAGTCGATAATATTTAATTGAATTTTTGTAATAACATTCTGAACAAAATATGCTATATTATTAAAATTAAGATTTTAGCATAAAAATTTTGAAAATAAAAATTTGAAACTACATAATGACTGTTAAAAAGAATATCGAAAATTGTCTTGTTATATTTTTATTTTGATATTTGTAAATAATGTTTAAAACTTTCCAGTCTGATATTTTTTTCTACATAATCTATAATTTTATGTATATAAAATATGTATAATGATAATTTTATGTATATACATTATATGTACATGCAATTATCTATGTATACATATATATAGATATATGAATGAGTAAAAGGATATTTAAAACCTTTTGTATTATGTTTAAAAATATGTCTTCTGGCATTTTTCGCACACGATAATGTACATTTTATGTATGTATATACACAACGTATATACGTATATGTATAATGTATATATATAATTATCTAAAAAGTTACTAGTTCTGTATTTAAACTATACGTTTTAATTGGTGTACTTTTTATTTGCCATTAAAAATGCTATCCGTTATATATTATTCACTATATATTCAGAATTATTAACTATAATAACTATATAATACATTAAACTGTTCATACATATCCATAAAAAATTTCCAAAAAATATGTAATTTAATCAAATGTAATAATTAATAACAATAATTTACATTAATGTAACTTGTGGAGAAACGTGCGAAGTAATTCTCGTTTATTTAATAATATTCATATACTTAAACTGTATAATAATGAAATTTATGTAATAAACGTCTTTTCGTTATTATTTGCAGGGCCGCGCTTGTTAAAAATGGGAATGTCTTCCGTATATATAAAGATAATTAAAGGTGTCTTTAACTCCAATAATCCGTTTTGAAGAACTAAATATTAACTTAACGTTCAACAATTTGTCTATTACAAAATAATTATCATTATCGCAAGAGCGTTCCGCTCTGAAGTTCTTTCAATAACAATACTGTCATTACAGAGATAAATTCTAAAGGTCGAATCGAGCGTTAGTCGAGCGGCATCCACCTCTTCGACAACGTGTGTTGCGTGTGGTCTCTCGTACATGCAAATGCGGTTCTCGACAATTTTAAGAAATCTCAATCGGATATTCCAATTAAATTGTAACCTGTTACCTACATTAAAAGAGAATTCGAGAAATTACTCCATTCACTAAAACGAAGAGAAGAAATATCGATTTCGTGTGAAATCTCAAAGTGTTACTTTATCTACTTTCTTATATCAACGTGAGGAAACACATTTGAGGAATGTCTTGCCCAGTGAGCGGTATTGAGTAAGTAATTTTTCACGTTTTTAATTTTTAATACTCTTAGATACATAAAGGCAAAGACACATCTCCATTATTATTTATCACAGAAAATTACAGATTACGATAGCGAATATTTTAGTGTGTGAAAAAAGCACGGTTATACTTTGAACTTTTCTGTAATTCCTTAACTTTATTTTGCCTTTCGATGTAAAAAAAAAAAACGCGATTAAAATAAAAGCTCTATTTCAGAACAAACATCAAATAAATTCAAATCCAGTATTTTCACATAATATTGAAAAGTCTATATTTTTAAACTAATTATGATAAAGTTATGACGAAAGCGCGCGTTTTATGACACATTCGTCAAAACAGATTACATTAAGCAGCTTATCATCATTCGACTTTATCACGTTGTAACCGGTCATGTGTCTCTTTCATTTGAAATGTCATCACGTAAAAATCAATGGCGTATCTGTTGAAGAGAGGATAATCGAAACGATCAGGCACAGCGAGACGAGTTCAGGCAAGGACCGGCGTTGAACTATAGCGAATATCTGTGTTTAGACAAGGTCTTATCTGCGCAAAGGCTTCTTAGCGCCGAACACGGCAATGCAGTTCACGACGAGCATCTTTTTATTGTCACTCATCAAGGTATCTTACTAATAATTAACGTTAATTCTATACATAGTCTGGCAATTGAATTTTTTTCTATGCCACAACAAAAGCACTGAAAAAAGCAGCAAAATATCTTTATTTATTTCTTCATTACGTTCTATATGAATTTTGTTTCAATAGCGCGAAAGCTCAGTGATTTAATAAATGGTCTCTTTCCAATATTTTAAATAATGTTTTAAAGAAAAAGAAAATAGAAAATGTCAGTTTGTTCCTTAAAGTAAATGGAAAACATAAAAATATAAGAAAGTTATAAAAATAAAGTATATAATCTTAAAATTGTTTTGCAACTTTTTAAATAATAATTTGATTAATAGCATACAGCGACTCATGAAACTGATCAAATATATTACAATAATTCTATAAATGTATTACACAATTAATCTACGATTAACTGATTTAAAAAAGACAACTGCTGAAATTTCTCAATATTGACATACAAACAAATATCTATGATGTTACACGACAAATACCTTTGTTGACGAATTTTTAAAAGAAATTCCTAACAATGTCGAAACTGTTGGGACGACGAGAAAAGCGAGCTTCCTATAAACACGCAATTCGTAAATAGAATTATGAGGTCAATAACTAGAACTATATAGATTTGAAACAATTACAAACATGAGTCGACGATTTAGGCAAGAAACGATATCCGGAGAGAGAAAGAATCATAAACGAAAGGATCTCGAGTTTTCGAAAAAGTCAGAAGCACAGCGAGAGACAAATTTGGTCGCGATGGCCCAAGAATTACTGTACAGCAAAATAAATTCGGACTTTTCTTTAACACTCACCTTTTTGCATTAAATTATTTTCATTTTTCTTGAGTGTGATTATCGAAATATATACATATTTCTTACAAATGGTACAATTTAATCAGTTTCGTGAGTCATCGTACATATTCATTATAGCTTTATATTTTGACAATTATTTTATTAATTATGAGTTAGGTATTTATTGCAACTTTTATATTATTCTAATTTGCATCGCAATTGTTGCAGCGTACGAGCTTTGGTTCAAGCAAATTATTTTCGAGCTCGACTCCGTTAGGGCACTCTTCAGCTCCGAATCCAACAATTGCAATGCATCCAACGGGTCTTCTAACGATCATTCGGCCGCCACCCGGGGCAATGGAATTTCTCACGTTTTGAACGAGTCGAAAACCCTGGATATTCTCAAACGATTGAATCGCATTGTGCTTATTCTGAAGGTACGTTCGACGTATCTATACGTAAAGGCGATTCTCTCAAGAAAGATTCTTATATATACGAAATGCGGTTTTATGTAATGTCGTCTAATAATAGAATATAATTATAAAGCGACACGCTGTAAATGTCAGGACAGAAATCCGCTTATTTAACAATAATGGCGATGGTGATGCAAGGTGAACGGCCCTTAATTACAAGCCGATTAGTTCGCCACAGTCTGCGTGTCCCTTTAATCAAATTTTTCTGTCTCGCCAAACAAAGCTGTTTACTACCGCGACACTTTCTTTTACATCCTCTTACATGTGTCGAAAACATCGAACGTAACACCCAGCGCTACAGCTGTATTAATATATGCTTCGATATCTTTGTGTAACTTGCTTCTTTACGATAAACTAGATCGAACATTTCGTAACGATCGGCGTATCAAGTGCGTGACGCGCGCGACGATTTTTCTTTCCCGATTTAGGCACGATGTGATAAATAAGACAGACTGTGGGAACCACACAGGAATCCTGCGGGGGCTCAGTAAGATAATATTTCTAGACGATATGCGATACCGGGCGCTTGTGCGTGCATTAAAGGGAGAACGGAGAAGAGTTACGTTAGGTAACAAACCCGTTACTCTATTTCAATACCGCAGAAGGTGCGGTCGGTACCTTTCTTTATTTTGATTCGATAAAACGTCTCCGTCTCTCCGTGATACTGTATTCTCGATACGCACGAGCACGTAATATCGAGTGTCTCGAAATAGAATTACAAGCGAGTAACACGCGCGAGCAACTTGTCTTCAATAATTGAATTTGTCTTTGGTATACAATACCGCTCGGAAGATATGTAAAATGTGACATCTAATCTATGCAATATACACGAATGAATTAAAATTCACAAATTGCGAGATAATGTCAAATTTTTGTCAAGAAAAATCATTCTTACGTCCTCTAAAAAGTATAGTTAAAGCTATACTTGTTTCCAGATACACCTTGCAACGCATTGTAATAACGTATTATGTCGTTCACGCACCCTTTGCTTGCACCGGCACCCATAGAAATGCGAATGTAGCCACGCTGACAATCGATGAGGACATTTCAAGATGTTCTTTCATAGTTACGAGATTTGTAATCACGCATTTTACGACGCAAATTTATCTTTTGTTTTTTCTTATTAAAATGAAAATTATTAATTTAATTATTTTATTTAATTTAAATTGTCAATTCTCATTTAATTTAATGATTACAATCGAGCTAACATGATAAAAAGCATAATATGAAAACAACAGTATTGTGTACATTTAACAATGTAATTTATCTTTGCACAATTTAGTCGTGTCAGTTCCTTTTTTTTTTGTTTAAACAAACTGACAAAATGCCGAAAATTATTTACAAATGTATATCACGATCTTCAGTTATTGGTGGACCAAGTGACGATTCTGGAAACAATGATACCATTGGATTTCATGGCGTTTAGAGACCTATTGTGTCCGGCCTCGGGTTTCCAATCGCTGCAATTCCGTCTACTGGAGAACAAACTGGGCGTGAAACGAGAACTCAGGATCAAATCTAATTACCTAAAGATCTTCGGGAGAGATCCTAAAGCTATCGAGGCGATCAAGCGATCTGAGGAGGAGCCCAGTCTCAGTACTCTGGTTCAGAGCTGGTTGAGCAGAACACCAGGGCTAGAGACACACGACTTCGATTTCTGGGGAAAGTACAAGCGATCGGTGGAGAAGATGTTGGCCGAGCAAAAACAAGCTGTAAATGTAAGTATGCCCGAGGCCACTAATCTTAACTCATAATATTGTAAAGATAACTAAGTTATATTCGTATCTCTTCAACAATTTCAGCGATGAGCTCTCTCTCTCTCTTTCTCTTTCTCTCTAGAAAAATGTGAAATAATGACAACACAATTAAAAAATAAGAACTTTGCTTTCTAAATATATATATATTATAATAAACATTCACTAGGAAAAATTTAAAGCTCGATTATGAAGATAATTAACATTAAAGATCAAGTTTGCAAAGTTTAAAGTTACAAAAAACAGAAGCGTAAAGAAATCCGTTTAAATATACGCAACATTATTTTCTTCGTTTATTTTTGAATTTCGAAACAATTTGCTATTCAAACAATTTATCAAATTTTCAGACAATATCAGAAGAATGCGTCAAAAATTATCATTTGACCAATGTACACTCGCGGAAAGCACTTTTCGACAGCATCTTCAAAGAGTCGCTTCATAATGGTCTCGTGTCACGGGGGGAACGCAGATTTTCACACACTGCTCTTCAGGGAGCAATAATGATCACCCTGTATCGAGATGAAGCACGATTCAGCCAGCCGCATCAAATCCTCACGGCGTTAATGGACATCGACTCTCTAATCACAAAATGGAGGTGTAAGAAAAATCATTTATCTTGTTATTTATACGTTTACATTTTACTAAAATTTAGCAATTTTTTTTCAATTTTCTTACAATATTCACGAGAACAAATACGATATTTTTAAAATTTTCTTATAACGTGTGCATTTACATAAATGCACATAATTATTATTATATATCAATTATATTATATACGTACATATTATACATGAGGAAGTACCCAAAAGTTTCTGAAATTATTTTTTAAAAAATATCTTAAGTGTACTTTACAGGTCTGAAACTTTAATCCCCTCTCCATGTGACAACAATTTTTTTTTCTACGAATAAAATAGCAACTTAAAGGAAGCCGTTTTGCTGACATTAACAAGATTCAACAAGAATCGCTGGCAGCCCTTAACCGCGCGTGTTCCGGAAGAAGAATTTAGACATTGTTTCCTGAAGTGAGAGAGGCGCTGGGATTGTTGCATTAAGTCACATGGAAAGTATTTCGAAGGGGTTTGATGTTTCAGGCCTGTAAGTACACTTTAAATATTAAAAAAAAATTATTTCGAAAACTTTTGGGAACTCCCTCGTACGTACATAATTACTACTTATCAGTCTTAAATTATTTATAATTGCTGCCTATAAAATGCGCGTATGCGTCCAACATAATCTTATATAGCTGTTTACATAATCGTTAGAATGTTTCTCTTATTTTTCACTGATAGCTATCTATACATAATTATTATTATCAGTTTAATTTAATTTAGAGTTAATTTATTTATAATTACTATATGAAAAGCGCGTGTGCATCATATTGTAATCTGATTTGTTTATACAACCATTAGAATGTTCTTTTACTTTTCAGATAACCATGTTATCATGGTACAAAGAATGATCGGATCTCAACAATTAGGCACTGGTGGCTCCTCCGGCTATCAATATTTGAAGTCCACATTAAGGTACTTATCTGCTTCAATTAATGGCAAAAATTAATTAAAATTATTAACACAAAATTATCTATTTTATTATTAATTAAGGCTTCTGGGCTCTTTCCCGATATCTCATGAGATGTGACGTCAGAAACAAGAAATGTTGAGAATTCTTGCGTAGTATTTCCAAATAAAAAGATATTTGCTTAAAATAACACTACAGATCACTTCAGCACACTTCGAAAACACTCCGAGTTGAAGTTAAGTCTATACGCCTTTTCTTTGACAGTTAATAAACAGCCGTAAAACGAACGACCCAGGAGCCTTAATTGAAATTATTAATTAATACGAAGTAATTTATTTACTGAAAATATATGTCAGTGACAGCGGAAATAATATCACGAATAACATTTCTTATTTATCGCGAGCACAAGCATCATTAGCACAAATTATCATTGTAATGTCATAAGTCATTAAGATAACATATCGTTTTTTTGTCGATAATTTTAACTGAAGTCATCATTTAAATTTTAAATAACTGTTGTCATTTATTATCATTCAATACGTTACGTCAGAAATCCATCGCGTTTCATAAAACGGCAAATACTTTATCGATAAGTTTTTGCAAATGCAAATGTTTTTAATAAAAAATTTCGCTTGTTTTATGTCTTGGCGAATAGCGATAGATACAAAGTTTTTCTGGACTTGTTCAACCTATCGACCTTCCTGATACCACGTCATATGATCCCGCCGTTGACGAAGCAAATGAAAAAGAAGTTATCAATCGCCTTGTACGACTGCAACTCGGACGATCAAGATGAATTGGCGGACTCTCTAGAAAGCTCGTAAATTAGCGCATCACACAGCAAAGTTCATAAAACTCTAATAAGTTTTACTTCTTTAATATAGTCAGTGTGTATTATACATTCACTCTGATATAATTAGATATTAATTAGATATTACAGTTAGACGAGTGCTCTTTTTAAGATTTTTTTAGCGTTGGAACTAGATATTTCTAAAAACAGCACGCATAATTCTCATTAATTTACGATAGCGTTAAGATTAGAAACTAAAATTTCAAATGTTTGAAAATTATTTTATTTATTAATTATTAAAATTAATAAAATTACTAATTACTAATTAGTAAATATAGATTAGACAAAATAATCCAAAGAAAAGTTAAGGTCTCGTTTGTTTATAGTGTCGATCATAATATAAAAAGCTCACATAGCTGTGTATAACTTTTAACAATTGCAGATATCACTGTTTCACTTTCTGAAAGATCTTTTTTTCTTGGATCGTCTTTTATTAAGGTGATCGTATTTTGGTAGACTTTTGACATAACATATGGTATGGAAAACATATAATATTAACACTGTACTTAATAAAATGTTTCATTAGGTAAAACACAATTTTTTCTAACATAATACTTCTTGATTTATTTCGTCAGAAATTGGAAACGCTACGATTTAAAATTCTGATTAGTTAGCCAACTTCGAGCGACGAGACCTGATTGGCTATACCTGCAAACAAACGACAAGATATTCGTTTATCCGTTAAAGAGAAATAAAGCACTCAATACAATTAACGCGAAATATTGCACGCTGCTTGTTCATTGATCTTACCGCATAAATTTTTGCCGACCGCAATGTAAATGTAACCTTTGTCGCCAAAGGACGGTCCCCACGAATTTTTAATGATATAATGCGGTATACTCGCTGCCGTGTCGTATCCCACTATCTGCACCGCATGATTCAAGCTGTTGAACGAACCATCACACTGGCACTGTATTACGCCGCCTAAATAATGCTGCCAAGATATGGCGTTCACAGCAGCCGCCATGGGTCCATGAGTAACGAGCTGCGTCAAAAGTTCAGTCTCTGCGTCTACAAAGCTGAAACAAACTCGATTATTCGCGAATACCGGGGCATTGGACACAGTGCGGTGTCCAGCCTGCAGGCTTTCATCCTTTGTTAACGCCGACATAATCAACAACTTGGCAAGTGACGTGCATTATATAGCAAAAGAAAGAAATGCGTGTGTACAATATTTATTTTGCGTGTAAGAAAAAAATGGAGCATTTTAAATAATAACGAGCACTATATATAAGTAATAATGAAAAAATAATGTATTATAAATAATAATGCATAAGCAAAAAAATGAATACCTGTCGCATGTGAAGTCCGTTACTATAACTCCCGATGTCTTCGCGGCTATTCTGAAAGATCAAGTCCTATGATATTTTTGTGCTTCGATAAAAAAAAAATACATCTTCGAAATTTGTATGCAACGTACTTAGGCAATCTACACGTATCGGCTCGCAATGTGAGAGGGTAATCAGTCTCAGATGTAATTCTTGTTTTCGACGTCGACAGCCACGAGAGTAAACTGCATATGTCACCACCCTGGCATCCGTTACCGCCTGGCATGCAGTCAATCATCTGCATAATGTCGGAGGATTAACCATATCGGCT